CATTAATCCGTGCTGAGATTAAGGCTGAGTGAGGACAAACATACAGGTGTGTTCACACCTACAGGTGACTGGTCGAGCACATTCTACTATCAGATTAAAACAACATTCACTCAAGCTTTTACTCAATAGAAAATAGTGAAACAATTAAACTCTAGGGTATGCCTAGCTATGTGTGGGTGTGAGTGGATAATCGACTCATCCGAACATAGGACTGAGGTTCAAACTGGTTCTAACTGAAACTATTTTTTATTTTTATGCGCTGTTTCAGCGATAGCCTTAACCCTAAATACCATAAATATTTTATTTCTAAAACCATAGCCTCCAATTTATTGGAAAATTCATTATCGGCTGCCGGCTGGAATAAAAGAACACAATAAAAAGTTTGAGTAATTAAAAACTTTAATGGTCTTAGAGTAAGACAGTTAAAGGATTTAACGTTCTTAAGCCCCACGCTTTACTGCTGTGTGCATTTTCTCTTTTACCTGCATAAATCTTCCAGTAAATCCGCGCCCTTTCTTTTATTGATCCCATGAACACTGTTCTACCCAGCACAATTGGAAGATGTTTGTTTGTTTGTTTGTTTGTTTGTTTGTTTGTTTGTTTGTTTGTTTGTTTGTTTGTTTGTTTGTTTGTTTGTTTGTTTGTTTGTTTGTTTGTTTGTTTGTTTGTTTGTTTGTTTGTTTGTTTGTTTGTTTGTTTGTTTGTTTGTTTGTTTGTTTGTTTGTTTGTTTGTTTGTTTGTTTGTTTGTTTGTTTGTTTGTTTGTTTGTTTGTTTGTTTGTTTGTTTGTTTGTTTGTTTGTTTGTTTGTTTGTTTGTTTGTTTGTTTGTTTGTTTGTTTGTTTGTTTGTTTGTTTGTTTGTTTGTTTGTTTGTTTGTTTGTTTGTTTGTTTGTTTGTTTGTTTGTTTGTTTGTTTGTTTGTTTGTTTGTTTGTTTGTTTGTTTGTTTGTTTGTTTGTTTGTTTGTTTGTTTGTTTGTTTGTTTGTTTGTTTGTTTGTTTGTTTGTTTGTTTGTTTGTTTGTTTGTTTGTTTGTTTGTTTGTTTGTTTGTTTGTTTGTTTGTTTGTTTGTTTGTTTGTCTGTTTGTTTGTTTGTTTGTTTGTTTGTTTGTTTGTTTGTTTGTTTGTTTGTTTGTTTGTTTGTTTGTTTGTTTGTTTGTTTGTTTGTTTGTTTGTTTGTTTGTGGTTTTTAACCTGTCAAGCGTCAGCTGGCTGTTTATTGTTATTGTTTTCATTGTGCAGGTAACGTCAAATTTTAATGTCATCAAGTCATGTGAGAGGCAGAAACTAAATACAAGCTCCGGGTTTCCTTGCTTGACGTTTTTAGTTTATGTGTCTGCAGAGTTGGATTGAAAGTAGGTGCCAAGTATTAATGGGATTGTCACGTCAGTTGGTATCAAAATTTATAGAGAATACCATGTCAGTTAGTGTCACACACACAATGGAATGCTCTCTCTGTTGATGTCACGCATAATCAAGGGAATGTGATGTATGTTGGTGCCACACACAAGGGAATGTGACGTCTTTTAGTGTCATACATACGAGGGAATGTGACGACTGCTGGTGTCATACATACGAGGGAATGTGACGACTGCTGGTGCCATACATACGAGGGAATGTGACGACTGTTTGGTTCCACACACTCAAGTAAATGTGATACCAGTTTGTTCCAAAAATGTAAAAATATATCATGTCAGTTGGTGCAACATACACAAAGGAATGTGACGTCTGTTGGTTCCACACACTCAAAAGAAAATGATGTCAGTTGGTGTCGAACACTGAAGTGAATGTGACGTCAGTTGGTGCCAAAGATTTAAGAGAATGTCATGTCAATCGGTGCCACACACACACACACAAGGGAATATGATGGCAGTTGGTGCCAAGCACTCAAAACTCCCCGACTACGCACGAGTTCTTAATCTCAATCAGAGTCGTGTTTTACCAATGCCCAGAGATAACGGCAATTTGAACGAATGTGTTGGACATAAGTCACATGAGGGCAAGAGAGTGGCAGGTTCCTAAGAAACAATCTTATCTTAACAAACTCCACACGGCCCCAAAATATTTCCTTCCCCAGCCACCCACCGCCCCCACCCACATGACACACACTACCTCTGTAGTGACGTTACACCGACAGCTAGATTTATTAGACGTTTGGTTTGTTCACGTCCAGTCTGGCAGTGAATTTATGTACAGAGAGGCTTGTACAGCTAGACATGCAAAGCTAAACATTCAAAGCTAGAAATACAGGGCTAGACATTTAGGCCTACAGCTAGAAATGTACAGTTAGACCTGTACAGCTAGACGTGAGCAGCTAGACATTACGGCCTATAGATAGGCCTGTACAGCCTGGCATGTGTACCTACAGCTAGATATATCGATCTACAGCTAGACCTGTGCAGCTAAACATATCGGCCTACAGCTAATTCTGTATTGCAAGCAACTGCAAGATCAGGAGCCCCTGTTGATCTCTTATATAGCAGACTTATCGAGCCTATTTTTTGTCCAAGGGGTCTCTTATACGGAAGTATTATCAAACATATGCGTAAGAACAATTGCAGTCTAAAAATAGCATGCCCCGGCGATCTCGAATCCAATAGGAATATCAATTATATATGTAGGATCATTAATAGTCTAAAAACACCCTGTTAACTGAAAACAATGGCGTAACTATCATTGTTTACTATTTCCTTTAGCAAAACAAGCTGGTCAATATTTATTTTCTTACATGTAACGTCGATTACAATAAAAATCAGCACTTATTACCATGTAATAATGGTTGTAATCATCTCCCTTGAAAATAATTGTTACCAAGCTTTTATGAGCAATTAACGCTTCTCTCCCTTTAGAACCAAATTCCGAAAGTCTCGTCATATAACATTTAACTCTCGGGGAGATGAGAGATTCGGATTTAAATGACATGGCATGGCCTGGAGCATGGACGCAGCAAGGTGGGTTTAGGGGGAGGGATGGATTAGAAAGTTTGACTGCTTTATATATTTTTAGTGGGATTAATTTTTTTCTATGGACAAATATTGTGCTAAACTGTTCAAATTCGTTAAAATGGTGGATACTGTGATTACAATTTTTAGGCGTCAATATTTGGGCTGTTGCAAATACTTTTTTGTGACGATATTAGTGTGAGCGGTAAAAATTACACAAAAAAGTGTGACGTTGTTTATTAATGACAACCCATTCCTAATCTAATCGCATTCTTGGAGCAAATAAAATCCATTTTTCACAAAAACATACCAAATTTCAGCACAACACATAGGGGAGGAAACTGTTGCGGGAAAAAAAAGCTTTTGATTAGCTTTTGAATAGACCGTGACCAGACACAACCAGACAGAACCTTAGTTATCACGCGACGTGTTATTTATAGAGTGGAACGCTTTACACTCTCTGCCAACCCTTTGGTAGACAGCCTGGTTTAAATATACGCATTATTTTTATTTTTTTGCCTACCCAATTACTGAACACTTAGCCTGGTTTAAATATTTGAATGAACACATGTTTTTGGCAATCCGTTTTTCTTTACAAAATCAAGGCTGCGAACGCAATGTGGATCATTTTATATTCTACCATAATTACTGGGGTTTCTAAAAAAAATAATTAAATGCGTTAAACAGAAATGTGTATATATATATATATATATATATATATATATATATATATATATATATATATATATATATATATATATATATATATATATATATATATATATATATATATATATATATATTACGACCTATTTTGAGGTTAAAATAAATAAAATAGTGCACATGCCATGTTATAAAACTGACTCGCTTAATAGTTTTCAGCACTGGTGTAAAGACGTGTTCAACTGTACAATCTACACGCAGCCAAAACTGTTCAGCCTTAAAACTTAGCCTAACACAGAAGATACATATTTTGTTTCGCTCTAAATACTAAATCGAGTTCAACTTTTGAAATTAACATGTATGAGGAGAAAGCCGCGAGCGGATATGACTTGAAAAGCTACTTCACAATACTTCACATGTCTTCCATGAAGCGTGTCAATACTCTACTTGTCCCATAGTGTGTAACACTGCATCATAAAAACACATGTTTTAATTCTAGATATTGAAAGTGGTTTAAAAAAACCAATTTATATCTCCCAATGCGTGCTACCTTACTCGGTTGTATTACAACTTAATTTACATTTGGAAATAACCCTTTTTTAATTTTATTTTGTATGTTTCACTTATCCGTGTATGCCGTATGGTATCTTACCTTACATAATTTGCATTTAACCTTTAACTATTTAAATTTGAAAAGCCAAAGTTCGGACGTTAGGAAGACAGAGTTTCAAGCAACTGTTGCTTTAAAAAAAAATACTATTAAGTGAAAGTGCGTTATGGATTCCGAATGTGATCAGTATTTGTTAAGTACAATATCTACAACTTTAAGTAGTTTAACCACGGTCTCCGAGATATGTTTTAATTGAGATTCTGAACAAAATGGATCTTGATGAAACTAAAGGTTTCTGGATCCCGGTATTGATTGTACTAGGACAAAATACACACCAATGTATTGATTGTAATTTGACATCGGTAAATGGAGGAACATTATTCCAGATTTTTTATTAGTGCCATTGAAAAATAAAGAAAATATCGCAACAGAAATCATTGCTTGCTGATGCTTTTGGTTTCAAAAAAATAGCAATAATACTTTTTTTTTTTAAATAGCAAGTAATAAAGGTAAAATAAAATAAAAAATAAAAATAAAAGTAAACTTTTATCTTTTTCAATTACTGCAATACATAACACTTTTTTTTTATTTTAAACTTATGACTAAATGGATAAAACATAGTAGATGTATTTAGGTGTAAGAAAAATAGAGGTAGGTAAAAAACACTTTTAACGAGTTCAAAGACTATATAATATTAGCAGCATTTTCACGGATGTGTGATCAGGGCTATATGCTGAGCTATGCACTTTAATGTCTTACTTAAGGACAAAATGTCACCATATTCTTACCTTCAGCCGAAGTTGTCAAAATAAATGTCACAAGAATGGCCAAGGCCCTAAGGCCTAGAGGCCTGTGGTCTCTCATTACTTTTTACACAACACAGTCACAACGACGCGCGTACATCGTGGGATGAGTAAGAAAATTGTAGCTCCAAGGTGTCCAAGTTCAACTTGTCTATAGAGCAACCAATTTGGAATACGGCGAAAATGAACCAAACTCAGCGGGTATTCTCGCTGCAAATCGATTGATTTTGTAAGATCGATAAGTCCTTATAGTATCTGAAATATCAGCTTTTTAGCGTGTTTTTTTAAAATTAAGTATAAGATGTAAAACAATAAACTAATGCGGGTATGAACAGTGTTCTACACCGCACCTAGTTGGCTTTATAGAAGAGCGTCTGACTATAGACAAGATTCAGCTATCCACAGTCCCACCTCTCGGCACTATCGTGACGCTAAAGCCAACACCCAAAGTTACAGGCCGCGGTCGTTTATATAACTTCAAGACGGCAGTCAAAGTCGCAGTCGGCGAATGGAGCCATTTTCAATACAATTTTATATAACTGGGATCTTGAGTTTAGGGGTAGGGTATGTGAAGCGGTGGGGGGTGGGGGGGGGCGAGGCGGGGCGCAGAGACGCAATTGTCATTTTTTTTTTTTTTAAACGTGTGTGATATTTTCTTCACGACGATCACGCAGCACACGGATGTGGTATCAAGCGCTGATCCTTACGTGTTGATTTTATATTAGAAGATTCATAACAATCTCTCCCCCCCCCCCTCCCTCCCCACAGCCAGCTACGCCCCCCCCCCTCCCCACCTGTGTTCAGCTTGACTGACTAGCTTTTTGGGCGTTAAGTCGTTATGGGTGTTTTTTTCTTTTCGTCGCTTGTTTCAACAGAGTGTGCCGGGCCTCGCCTCTCGTTAGATCGCGGTATTGACATGTTATAACTTTCGATTTATCCCCCTCCCGTCTCTCGTTAGCGTTTGCTGTGGAGTTAACGGATGCAGACCCGGATGTACAGTGCAATTTGCGCCGAATAGTGCAGTGTGGTGAAGACTATGTTGCAACTTTCAGAAACCACTGGGGTGCGATTTATTTTTTTAAATAAAAATTTCTAAACTAACAGAACACACAAAAGATCGAGCTACACTAAATTTAAAAGAAAGGTTATTACGAGATAACTGAATGGGTCTAAACAATTTGACTACCTAAGACCCCAACTTAACAATATATCAACAGTGTTTTGTTCTTCTAATATATAGTCCAATATAAACATACACACACACACACACACACACACATATATACATATATATATATATATATATATATATATATATATATATATATATATATATATATACTGGAATGTATACCTACTGAAACTGGAGGGAATAGGGACAATCCTACTGAAATGTTCACATTTAAGAGAGGGGTGAGGTTATCAGACTTGCAAGTAAGTACCTGTGGGAGGGGAGGGTTTATCATACTGCCAGTTACTGGGTCTCCGACTTTCTCTTGGCTCTCGTGAAAACAGTAGATAAAACGATTCCAGGGTCAGTAGGTCATAGAACACAGATCAACTGGTCCCGGATTTTTTTAAAATTACAATGTAAAAGAAAATATTTGTACTTTTAAATATTTATTCTTGATTTTCAAAACTAAAATAAAGTTAAAATACCTTTATAAATATTTTAATAGATATTTGCATTCTCTGAGTGGGCTCACAAAGTTTTCTATACTTACCAAAGAATTTAACTACGCTTAGGACCCCTCAGTTTGGAACCAAATACAACGAGGTAAATACGTGACGATTACTATTGTATCAAAGGTCAACCGTTCACCCGTAATCACAGTTGAATGCTGGGAGCGTTGGAAATCTAGGTGAACAGATTTTGGGCTGGGGTTTCGTAACCTAGGTTGGGTTGGCTGCATAGCGGGATGGACGCTGATCAAGAGGCAGATGAAAATTTTCTACGTGCTAAGACGTACTTGGTTTTTATGTTCGCCAATAGGCCAGTACAGTACAAAATTTGTGGTTGTTTGTTGCTTGTCCTTATTGCCTTGGGATTAAGGGTTAGAGTCACGCTTGGGGTTTGTTTAGGGCTAGAGCTTGAGCTGCTGCGTTAAGTTTGTATTGGCACACTGCACCAGTTGATGGTTATATATTATATATACATACATTTTATATATATATATATATATATATATATATATATATATATATATATATATATATATATATATATATATATATATAAAGCATTGTTGATCTATCAACATTTAACAAAAGCTATTTTGTTTTATTTTTTTTAACTGTATTTATCAACGTAGCTAGCTTAGTACTAACTGATCTATTTTTTTTGTGTGAAGTGGTGTGGGTGTCACTATCGGAACATTCTAATTGCCACATTCTCAGATTCAACTGATAGAAAGACTAGATGGGTTTCTGTGTGCTTTCACGGGGAGTACGCCCCCATTGTGTTAGCTTCTGTCTCTCTGTCCAGACCTGAATAAGCAGAATTATCCAAGCCACGTTACTCTAACAAGGTCTTGCAATGGTGGTTTTTGTCTTAATTATTTATCTTGATTAAAGTATTAGTTATTTTTATTCAGATGATTACACGTTTAAGAAATAGTCGTCTACATGTAGACATTGTAACGCTCTTCTGTGTAATTACAGTTTAGCAAACAGGGATTTAAAAAAGAAAATTAATATTTTTTGTGTATTAGGAATCTTCCACAAACCTAGGGGAAAGGAGAGGGTGACTACTGTGAGGATATGCTGTTAGGTGTGGGGCAAAATGTTATCTCAGTTTAGGTCAGGGAGGAGAATTAACTTTTTGTGTGAGGTTAGGAGAGGTAAGAGAACTCAGCATGTCTACGGAGCAAGTAGAGTTCACTTGTTTCTTCGACCTCGGTATATAAAGGGATAGTGTGGTCAGCACTATGCCCAGCCCACTTTACTTCCCTAACGTGGGTTAGGTACCCTTCAGAACTAGGACGGTCTACTGACTTGAGCCCGGCGAACTCGAGACTTAATGGTTAGCAGTCCAGCTCTCTACCGCTCCGTCCCCAAGAGAACTCAGCATGGGTGGCGTCATTTTAGGCCATTGCGTAAAGGTATGTCCTTCATACGGACAAGCCCTCCCCAGCTCCCGCCTGCTCCACAACTGACTGTTCCCCCCCCCCCCCTTCAAGTCCTCGCCCACACAAAGCCCAGTTATTTCTAGTCCTTCTCTGTGCTAACAGAACTCTCCAGAAAACCCAGAACTGAAAGCCTGTCTCTACGCTTGGCTGGGCTGGCAGATACAGAAAACGTCTTTCGGTATTCAATTCTCAGAAAGCTTCGAGAGGGTCACGGGGGAGAGGTATTCAAACTAGGTACATAAACTCTAATCTCCTAGCCAGTAAAGACTAAATAGCGTGTGGTTCTTTTTTTAGAACGTGGTTGTTTATTTCCCTAAACTACTTTCTTTTATAGAGAGTTAGTGATGACCACTTAAAAAAAAAAGTAACGAAAGAGTCATCGTTCTAGGCCAGGCGAATGATAAGTGCGTTCGTCCTGAGAGTGTCTTTTGTGACAGTGGAATGAGGATAGCAAATTTAAAATTGAAAGCAACAGCTATTTGTGTAAGCTGAATTAAAGCTTGAAGCATGTAGCCAACCCTTTCTTTAAATAACAAAACGAATATTTTGGGCGTAAATTTCTGGTATAATAAACCGGTAGTAATCTCCCCTAAACTTTCTCGAATATTCTAATATAACACTACGTGGGATGTCAACTCGGAATATAGACATGATTTTTGTTTACTTAAACTTTTAAAAATAGAATAAAATCTAGTAGAAAAAAAAAATGCGCACCAAGCTAGCACCAAAACCAAATGTGCGTAATAGTGCGCAATATTATTAGTACTTTAAAAATTTACATTAGTTTTTTGAGAAATCGGAAGTAGCGTAAATTACTACTTCCAGTCAACGGAAATTACTCAAAATTTAACAGAAGGTAGAGAATTAGATCTTTTACTTACATGTGAAATTTCATTTATCTATCTGAAATAGTACTCAAGTTATAGGCTTTTAAAAAATTCAAAGTAGGAAAAGTACCACTTCCGGTTATCGGAAATCGCTCAAAAGTTGATACGGATCTACGATTTTGATAAAATACTTATATATGAAATTTCATCAACCTAGCTGTAACGGTACTCAAGTTATCGTGTTTACACACGGACAGACACACACACAGACACACACACACACAGACATACGGACAAGATTGCAAAATTATGTTTTTCCGTATCAGTGAGTTGTAAAACGTCGAGATTTGTAAAAATCTCGATTTTTTTTTTTTGCACGATTACAATACTTTCTCTATACTACGTATATACGAGAAAGTAAAAATGATAAACTAGTGGGCTTTTGGATATTAAATGTGACTTCATTGTTAGAAGGCGTTGTGCGTTATTGTGTTGATTGCTATTATTCTTGTTTTTCTATCTTAATTAATTAATGACTTAGAACAGTGCCTCGTTTACTTTCACTAATCATGTATGTAAAGGTGGAAATGGAGATACACGTGGAATAATGATTTAATTCATGCTCGTCCCATATGACGTGAAGAAAACTATTAGGGAAATTGTATATTAGGAGGGTTGCTTTTATTTGGCAGCAATAAAAAAAAATTTAAAGGAAAAGACTTGTTTTGCTATTTATGATGATTTTTTTAAATTATTTAAGTTTCTATCGCTTATGTAACAAATAAACTCAAATACTTTTTACGTAGAAAGAATGACAATAATGACATTATTTTTTTAAAATTATTATGTTCAAAAATCGACATGTACACGCGCACACACAAAATACACACATAAAAGTGTATTCCAAGTATGGAGAGTCTAGGTCTGTCTGCCCTGCTTGTGATCGTGTCATTTACCTGTGGTCCTGATCACTTCCATTAAACTCTGGTGATAAAAATGGATGTGGATATCATATCAACTTACAATCCAACAATAGAGACGTCATTTATTTACCCCCACGCCCATTCCATTTTTTTTTTAAATCACAGTGGTTAATCTTTCTACTTTAAACATTCGCGCTTCGATCTACAAAATCAATATCTTTTACAGTATTTGAATTAAAATTTACGGTGGATTTATGTGGTTTTTCCTTCTTCTATTGCCGTTGTTAGTGCGTGTATGATACAAGTAGTGCAGGCCATGTGACTGAATAGAATTTTTATCGCTTGAAGACTTCTCTGTTGAAATGGTTCGCCACGGTTTGAATGCGGTCAGGTCAACGTTAGGGCAGGTACAGACGGTATTGCCGGGTGGCGGTGGTGTGCTCTAAGCTTTATTTAGCCGCCAGTTAATGCGTTTGTTTTGTGTAGCCGGTTCACACATTACACGGTTATTAATATTATAGCTTTGATTTTTTTTTTTACTGTCTGTGATTTCACCACCTGTTGTCGAATTCGCACCAAAAAATAAATTGGTCTTACGGTCATTTTAATTATTTCGTTTTTAAATGATGTATTGTTAAATATAATTTACTATTTAAATCCAACACAGTGGACCTTTTAAAAATAATGTGGTGAAATAAATGTTAAGGGCTGTAGGCTGTAAGCTTTTAAAGATAATGTTATCCTCTCCCCCCCCCCTAACCCCCCCCCCCCACCACACACACACACACACAAGAAAAGTCTCTTAATTCAATCTAACGTGTTATATTTTACACTTTTCCATGTTAATTGAGAACCTACCTTCCTCCCCCCTCCAGAATTTACCACCATAAAGCTCTACCACTCCCTTCCCTTTCTTCGCTGTTGAAGATAATAACATCAGAATACAATGGGTTATTTTTCTCTTTAAGAGTCACCGGTTCGATTAATGAGGCAACTAACTTCAGGAAGTCGAATACATTAGTTTGACACGGTGTCTAGACTGTAATAGACACTAGCTCAAGTCACACATACACACATATGTGAACACACACCACAACGCCTGAATTTGTGAGGTAAAACCAGTATCGTCGCCAGGTCGGGTGTCAAACCCCCCCCCCCTCCCACCAATTTTTAAAAAAAATATAGGCTATATATTTAAACTTGGTGTCACCTCCCCCCATTTGCCAAATCGCGTGATTTTGTGAACACATTATTTTAATTCAAAAGGAACAAAGCAATGTTTCATAGTGTTCTCGGTAGTTAGTATGGTATTCATAACTTAAATATCCAACAAAAATAAAAATATTGTGATTTTGTAGGTCGTTACATCGCCTCTACCCAACTCCACCCCACCCCTACGAATGTTAATTAAGAGTGCAACCATGCTCATATCCTGCTTTTAAAAAAATTTCAATCCTTTTAACCCACTTTCCAGCTTAAACAACAAACAATACACTATTAAAAATTCTTTATTCTTTTAATTAACCTACTATCAACACCAACCCAACAAAGGTTTTGTTTAACGTGTGCGCTGTAGCATTGCTTTTGTTTTTTCACGGTCCTGCACTCCAGTAGCTTGTGCCCTAGTAGGTCCGTGTTGCATCCAGCGAAGATTTGATTTGATTTTAAAAGAGAGCCTAGCATGTGTGATAAGATTCTGTACCCTGGGGCTAATTGTTGGAGTCAACTGGGAATGGCAAGTTCATTTAAAGGTGACGTTCACAATCACATGTGTATGAAACACAAAATAAAGAAATCTGTGAAGACAGCTTTCGGAAATTTACTATTATTAGACTCGCGTGAAAATCTTCCTTCTTGTCGAACATCAGTGGCCCTGGTATGTGACGTAATTGATCTACAATTATGGCCCAGCCTCAATGAACATCTAGGATACTGGCCGTTTTATTGATACTAATGCTACCATTTTCCTAACCATCCTTGACCTACCCTCTCCTACCGTAGAGGAGTTGCATATTGGACAACACAGAATGATTAATCGTCTTAAATTATTGATCCCTGACAGAAGCCTAGCACCCCAACCCCCAGGAATGTATATTTCCTGATGCCAATCAAAGTGTGCTTCACCCGTTTCACACCTTGACACAATGAACATTCTATCCATTCCTCAATGGTGTTCGGAAACACTTTAAATATCATCTATCATTATTTAAAGCCAAAAAAAAAAGGAATGATGAACATAAGCTGCTAGAGATATGTTCATAGTTTAGCCCAACAGTGTCACAAGCAGAGGCGTAGCAAGGTGGGGGGGGGGAGCGAGGGTGCGGACCGCACCGGGTGACACCATTTAGGGGGTGACACCAAGGTAAAAAAAAATAGCAAAATATATAGAGAAAAATGATAATTCCACTTAATTAAGTGATTAATTCGAGTGTTAAATACTGTTTTATGAGGTGCAAATCGAAAGTTTAAGGGGGGGGGGGGGCAAATCGAAAGTTTGAGGGGGGGGGGGAGTGCAAATCGAAAGTTGAAAGTTTGTCCCCGGGAAGGGTCGCTACGCCTCTGGGGAGTGACACCATTAAGTGCCGCACCGGGTGACACCCGACCTCGCTACGCCACTGGTCGCAAGCTCAAGCTTTTATAGAGTTATGTGCGGGCTTAATATCAAACCAGCTCACGGTGAAAGAAATATACACGCAAAAAAATAGCATTCCAGCAAGCGTAAATTGTATGTCTTTAAAAAGACGTCACTAAGCGGGGCTACAGCTACCCCAGCAGCCCTTCTGTCCATGCCCCTAAACAACAAGTAGACTAGTGACCTACATACAATATAGAGATGGGCATAAGTTGAAAACATCCCATGATGCCCCATTATGTTCTATATTTAAGTCAGTAATGTAAAACATCACTCATGCGTGCAGTGGCCTGGTCGTCATACTGTTTGGGTGGAACCTTGTCTTTTATTCTGACAGAATAGCGTCATGCTCCAGCAGGTACCGGTGGAAATAAAACGGTAACAGAATTCTCAACAGCTCGTTAGATTTAGTTCTTTAAAAAAAAGTATTTGACAGCACGCAATATTTGGAAGACATTTTTTTTCTATCTGTATGGAGCAGGAGCGAACAAACACCGGCTTTCATCTGATGCACGTATTGCGTCTTTCAAGTCCACTGTGTTAAAATTAAAAACAGTTTTTAGATTAATTTAACAGTTTTTTATTTTTTATTTATTTATCCTTAGTTATTTTTTATTTCTTTTTTTAAGGGTGCATGTAGGCTATAGGTTTTCTTTTCCTTCGCATTAATTAAGTAGGGTCTCCCGGTTTATCCATTTGTATCTGAGTGTAAATAATGTAGGTGTTGACCGCAGGAGAATAAGAATACTCTTCAAACCAAAAGTATTACCATACCCCCCCCCCATATCTTTTTTTATTTATTTCACGTCCTCACAGATTATTTCTATCTTTATATACCAAACATAAAGGGGCGTAGCCACACGAAGCAACCAAGTCTTTAAACCATGAGGTGAAAAAATGTCAAATACATAAACCTGTTTCTGTTTCTTTGTCGCTCATAAAATTAAGCTTACCTTTTGCCAATAACCATAATGATTGTGTGGTATTCATTTCTACCATAAGTATGCACATTTTTTTTTTCTGAAGAAGAAAAAAAAAGGAAAACAAGCTGGAAATGGATAAATGTGGACCTATTTGAGAAGGGAAATATTAATATTGTAGTGGCTTATTGTAAATTACTCTTTCAAACTTACATTAGAATACCAATGTCAGATGAAGTAGAGTTCCTTTATTTATTAGACCATTGCATACCAATGAACAGTCGATTTGCTTTTACTATCACGGCTAAAAGCAGAAAAAAAATTCAGGACGTGGCAGAAATGAATAAGGCATTTCGTTATATTTCTTGTATGAGGTGTGGGTGAAAGAGAGATGGTATTTAACTGCTTTATATTAAAGTTAAAACTTGATATTTTAAAAAAACTAAAATGTCTCCCCTCACCCAGTCAAGCAGTTTCCTTTCCTGTCTGTACTGTTACAGGAAAAGGTGTTGTTGTTTTTTTCCTTATTCGGTTCTTAAAAGGCACGGCCAGCAAGACATTACAATACCTTCTTGAATTATTTTATTTAAATGTGTACTGCCATGTTTAAGCGGAAGGTTCAAAACCAAATGTGTGCCGATAAAAACTAGCATAACTAGATTTGAACATTTTTTTTATTTTAGAAAGGGGAATAATTTGGTTTTAAAAAACTTTTTTATCAGTTGAAACTAGTTTCCCTTTATTTACATTCTTACGCTCTCGCGTGCGCAGTATAGAGGAAATATGTAATCGTTAAAAAAAAAGGAGAGATTTTTTAAAAAACGCTGACGAAAAAACTAAGTTTTGCAATCGTGTCTGTCTGTCTCTATGTGTTTGTGAACACGACAACTTGAGTAGTCTAACGTTTTAGTTAGGTGGACGAAACTTTACATTTAAGTTTTAGGTTAGCGTTCCAGTTAGATGGACATTATTAGCAGTTTTGTCACAAACATACCTACCATAGCTATAGCCCAATTGCACTAGAAGTGCCATCCCCCCCCCCAACTGTTATGTAACTCTGTCTCAGTGGGGTTATGATGTGATGGTCATTCGCTGAGATTTAGTTTTTAAGGGTCTGACCTTGAGAGACTAAACAAACATAAATATGTTGTGTTTAGCCCAATACGTGAACTTAATTGAACGCAGGCAGTGAAGCGTAGCCACGCATTAGTATTACACGGGCTGAGGTACAGACATACAAAGGCTATGATGTAGATGACTTATAAGACATATAACCAGCCCTTCATTAGGCCTACACTTGCTCACTCTTTCTTTGACTAAAGATCCACACGTTGAGCCTTGATCACACTAAGCCTTAGCTTGTATTGCCATCGTTGTTCTAGTCAAAAACGACCACACCCAGATCTCTATGAGGTCACATGACCTTGAAAAAACTGGGCCAGAAACCCAGTTGGCTGGTAACACTATGGTATGTGTTACAGTTAAATAATGAGGATATATGATATAAGGGAGCTCACACCTACTTTATTCAACCAACAACGACAAACTGAGGACCATTTTCAAAAAATAATTAAATAATTTTTTTTTTAATGATACCTACAATTTCCGGATTTTTCCTTAACTCTTTCTGATTTGATGCTAATTGAGTTTTGCCCATCAGTTTATTATTTGAAATTAAGAAAGGACTCCCACTGTAAAGTTAATGTAATTGTAATTATCTATTTGTTGTAAAAATCATTCAAATAATACATTTATACTGGAACTACTAGGCAAAATATGATTTTTTAAATCAACAAATCACAAACTTACCATGCAAGTTGACGTTGTTAGAACAGTCAAAATATACATACCATATCTCTTTCTTTCAACTCAATATATTTGACCTATGAGGCCACTCAGGTAGTTGCAAACTGTTTGGATTGAACTCACATTTTGCATCATTAATTATTGCTTCTTATTTAATGAAATATCATGAACCACTGCTTAAAATTTATTAAAAAGTAGCATGTAATCCTCTTCATAGAAATCATATATAGTGAAATCTTACTCTATCTACCTGCATGTTTGTGCATATATATATATATATATATATATATATATATATATATATATATATATATATATATATATATATATATATATATGATATAAAACAGAAAGCATTTCTGGATGCCTATAAGTAGTTAGTTTTTATTCCTTTATTTTTTTTAAATAACACAAGTTTCACTTTCTAATGGTAATTGGGCTATTGCCATGATCATTTTGGATCACTGTGTCTACAGTAACACAAAAATAATAAAGACTTGATCAACCTAGATCGTTTAAAGGACTCTTAATAAGTAAGATCAATTGCATAAAATACTTTAAACTCTTAATATTTAAAAAAAAAATTTCCTTGTATTGTAAGTATATTTTAAAAAAATTTCTATTCACACTTAGAAATTACCTTTTTAGTGAACAGGCAATGTTTTTCAAAGTGATTACTCGTAATAATTGAAAAAAAAGTGTATAAACATATTAATTAATGATATGCAAAATTAATTTCAATTTTAAAATTAATAAGCATAATATGTTTAAGTCAACACTTTAGAAAGATTTTTTAACCTTTTGGTTGTTTTTTATGTAGATCTTCAGCTTAAGAACAGTTCTACTGAAAAATTATTTGGTAGTCTTACAACACTTATTCACAACAATTTTAAACAGATACTTGCTGTATTAAGTTTTACTTAGCTGCAGTAATGTAGGGACTAATGTGAAATAGGCCTAAATTGTTTGCATTAAATACAACATAAACAGAAAAGCAAGATTATTTTTTAAGGTTTTAAAAAATTACATTGATTACAAAGAATCATCAATACTTAACCACGTCATATGCTTGTAATCCCGTCAAAAAGACTAACTATAGTTAATACATTGGTAACAAAGATCTGTGGAATTGAGAGCTGAAATAGTTTTAAGACTTATGTTAAAAATATAATATAAAACTGTTAAGAAACTGCTTTTATTTTCTATAGTTGATATTGTATAAAATAAAACATTAATATCTCTAGCGATAAGCAAGAGATTGCTTTTAATATTTAAATAACCATACTTCCATACTGAAGAATTATTTATCCATTTTATTTATGGTCATAAATATTTACTTACCACAGGTCTGTTCATGCATCCAGAAAACAACTCACACAAAAATTTAAGTTTCAATGGTGAAAAAAATACACTGTCACGGATTGAAAGATATTGATGTTTTCTCGGAAAGTTTATCAAACAAGCACGCTATGGGGAGTAATAACACTAAAATTTGTAAAAGCGCAAAACAACATTCAGTATTAGGAAAAATGTTATAGTTGTTTTGACTGCTTCAGTAAAATTATTTGGGTAGCATGAGCCAATCATAATACATAAAGTATAAAATATATATGTATGTTTTTAAATATATAAATACTCACTTGACATATTGATAAATGATGTTTGGTTTATAGCTGGTACACAAACGAGTGACTTATCATCAAGGGAGGTTTCATTAAATGAATAACATCTATTTGTAATAAAGCAAGAGTCCATCTGCAAAATGAATTTTAAAATTTTGTAAATTAATTACAGATGTAAACTTATTGTATTTTAAGGTAAAAATGTTTCATTAGTAAGATGTTTAGTTGAGGCTTTGTCAAAAATGAGAGCGATAAGTAAAGATGTATCAAGGAATAATTAGGTATAATGTAATGATTATATGATGATATATATGTAGCATATACACATTTTACCTTTATGGTACAACTGTCTGGGTTAGTTGTACAAATTAAGCAGGAGGAGTTATAGAATAAATAGTTCATGAAGGTACTAAGAATGCCTTCTGTGTTACTGATGGCTAAGGCAAAAATACTTGACAAATTGACTTGACATTTGACAGTGTTGAAATTGATGAAGTTGGCTGATGTTGTAGTCTCATCAATAGACATTTCCAAAGTTTTATTCATAATCTGAAATATTTCCATTGTGAAAAGAATAAAAGTAATACTGATGTATATTATATATTTAAGTACTGTTTTTAGATTTTTTCATATCTATATAGTTGTGTGAAGGAAAAAAGTTTTGGAATTGCAACTACTAATGTCTATAGAATGTCTCAGAGTACACAATGCCATAAGGCAGTATGAACAGTGATAACCACACATTTTCTTTTCTTTTGCCGAGGTCAAACAAACAGATCAGAAATTTTAGTTCCAGCTCATTACAAATGAACTCAAAATAATAAGGAACAATTTTTATTGACCAACATTACCATCAAAGTTTTAATATGACAAGTCAAGTTGACACTGTTGAGGAAATTGAACCCATTGATGTCAATTTTATTAGGACATCTCTTTGATTTTAAATCACAGATTCTGTTACTTGGTGAATCTATGACTTGGGGAGGCACCCTCAGATCTATGTCACATGCTGCACCTCCAAAACCATCTTTACAAATGCATTTTCCTGTTTAAAAAATTGTTAATATTAACAGATGAATTTACTCATTCAAAAGCCATTAGAACAAGCCTTAATTATTATTTTTAGATTAGAAATGTTTAAACAGATCAATATCTAAACTTTTAACATTGTTGTATTTTCATACCTTTTGAGCATGTGCCATTCATATTGCAGTTAGCTGGACAAAGTGACCAAAAAATATTTTCATCCAAATATACTTCATTCTCCTCAATTATCCAATAGCTATAAAAAAAACAGAATAAATCAGAGTTTAAACTTATCTTCACCCCTCTAAATTTTAATCTAATAAAGCAATATATTTACAAGGTAATTACCTCAGATTTGTTTGAAGATGCAGTAAACAGTGCAAATTAAGATTGTTGAGAGTAGACAGGGAAAATTCATCTGAGTCAAAAATCTAAGCATAAAGAAAAATATATTCACTTTAAAATAAATTTAATTTTCTTTAATGTTAAGCTCTCTAAAATTTACATATACAGTACAAACTTGGACTACTATCATACACCATTTCAACAAAAAACTTTTTTTTAATTAAACAAATTAAACTATTTTAAACAAAATTACAATTCTTATAAATTAGTAGTCCTAATTACCAAAATATCATCTACACATCCTTTAATAAAGACTTCATCACAGAGTTCAGTTACATGTCCAAGACAAGCCTGACCTGATACACTGTTGTATAAATAATTGTGACAGTAGTTGTGAGCATTGTCCAATGTCCAGCCACTTGGAGTTGGCCATGTTGGTATCTATAAAATTTCAAATACTCATATTTAGATCTTATACAATTAATTAAAGGTGCATGTGGTCGATTGAGCTCTCCTAAAAGAAGGAAAGTGAAGTTTAAATACAGTATAACATTTCAGCTTAAAATTCAGTAACTTAAACAACTAATTACATTTCAAATATAACTAACCTCAGGTTTTTGTATCATATCATAATCAAAATTTAAAGTGCAGTTAGGTTTCAGTGCAGATATGTACAATCTATTTGTGATGTCAACACCTATGTAGGAAAATAAACACTTAAATTAACAGAGTGTTATTTTTTGGGTAATAATTTTGTTTTTTTTTAGTTAATTTACTGTTATGATTTCAAAAAGTTGATTTCAAAAAGCTACCTCCAGAAATGTATCTTAATTCATCCTGACATCCAGACTGGTAGATTTCTCCATTGCATGTTTGTTTTGTATCACAAGCACAAAAAACTGGTTGAGTAGCAACCACACCTTCAGCATTACCACAATAGCCTCCATATATGGACTCTTCTTTGTTTACTCTAAAACGGAACAAATCCTTTTTAAACCCTGATAGCTATAATTTTAAGTAAACTAACTTAAGTAAACTAAGGATTAATGGGGTATTTTACCTCCAGCTTAAAGAAAATGTATCAATATTGGCCGGCGAAATAATTTCACCAGACCGTGATGTTAAATCATTTGTTATGTTGCCATCATAATTTCCACATAAACCTATAAAAACAATATTTTATAATCTATAGAACTCAAAACTGAAACTGAAAAAAATTAATTATGTGCTGTTACTTTATATAATACAAAAATAAAATAAAATAAATTACTTAATAAAATATACTTGAAAACCATTACAAATGATAAAGGTTTATTAAAATATAGTGTCCAAACAAAATTATTTACTTTTGTTACAGATTTAATAGCTTAAATTGCAACTTTCATACATACAAAAATACAGCAAAATACCTGATGTCTGTTTAAAGTCATTTGAGGTTGCTTGTATTGCAAAATGCATACGTTTACTGTCAATAGTTACAATAACCTTCATTCCCGTGGGTAGTCGTATCTGAAATTTTATTCTTAGGAGTTAATTGAAGATCTATGATTTTTTTTAGACTACATATCAAGAATCATGACCAAGCAGACACATTTTTAAATATCAGTAGTGGTAGAGAGCAAGACTGCTAACCCAAAAGTCTTGAGTTCAAATTCAGGTTCAAGTCAGTAGAATGTTCCTTAGTCCACCCAACTCTAATAGGTACCTAATTTACATTAGTGAAAGTAAAGACGGCTGGGCATAGTGCTGACCACACTATCCCTTCATATGCCAAAGTCAAGAAACATATGAATTTCATCTGCCTACTTGATTAATAGGTCTATAGAGGAGTCTTTACTTTTTTAATTTTTTTTTAAATATAAAGAAATGTTCTTTTGATAAACATAGGCCTACTTCATATTTTCTCCCATCATCAAAACTTGCTACAGTAAGACCTTGAGTAAGTCCTCCATCAACAACCATATCAACATTAAGTGGATACTGCCTTTCAGGATCACCAATAAGTGGTCCACATCTGTCTATTCTGACAACAGTTTTCCCAGCTCTGACAATCAATGCACAGTTACATGAAGCTTTGCCATCTCTGCACTTTCTATAGTAAGCTCGCACCTGTTGTGTCAAACATATTTTAGGTAATCCAATGATTGTGGAATTAATTTTATGTATAATAGTTTAATTAATCCATGTGTCTTTCTGACAAGAAAACTCTAAAGTCTTATGAAAACTAAAGGAAAATATCAAATCAAGTCAAAAAATTACAATAGAAAGTTAAACACTGAAAATTATTCACAAAGATAATGACTTCATTAATAATGGAGACACACGATTTACTGCCTAATTTTTCTTAAATTTAAAGTGTATGTATAAATACAAAAAAAGCAAACATGACTTAGTTATTGTTCAGATTTATTTCCAAGTTCCAGTTAAACTAAAGCTGTGGTTCCAGTAAGAGTTTAGGCTTTAGGTTAAAAGAATAAAAAGAAACATTCTCAACCAATCGTATTTTTCCCTCAATCAGACAATTATCTAGTAAGTAGCAGATTACCAAATTCATTATTTACTTCTTTTGATACATCAATAATCCTACATTTGTCAAATATGAAATATAAGAAAAAAACTTTACCTCTTGTTTTCCAGATGCATGCCGGTAAAGAACGTATTCTCCAGGATTGAAATTATTGTAGTACCTGAAATGCAAATGATTTTATAAGTTTGTCATGGTTTCTTATAACCAAAACTTGGATTTATGTTAACTCAATAGCAGTAGCAGAAAGGCAGTCTCATTTATGGTAAATAATATACTGGGCATCAAAATAATGACTAAATTAATGTTAACTACAAAGTTTGAAAACTAAGTCAAGACTATCAATATAATATCAATGTGTTTACATTCCATCAAAAGTTGTCATCTGTGGATAATTTAGAGACTGACAAATGGCTGCATTGTCAGTGTCAATAATCTTGACCTAATAAATATAAACAAATAATATTTATTATGTTATATATTTATAATGTTATATATTAATAAATTGAGAAAGCAACAAAAACATTTATTAATTCAAAAGAGATTTCAAAAAGTTACACGGCATAAATTAATATTGTTCTCCATAAAATTACCTGAAGAGAGCCAACAACAATGCTGATATTTTGAGTAAGTTGAGCAAGGACAGTGACATCCCTTAGAACATCTCCATCTATCTTTCCATCCAACACAGCTCTGACTACCACTGTCTGAGTAAGCTGCCAGTTGTTATTGTTGATAACTACAGCACATGCAGGAATGGATGGTTGCTCTGTCTGCCATCTAAAGACCAGCTGAGGCAAAGGTTGTTTGGTAACAGGACAACGAATATCTGGTGAGCTGGAACTGGGTGGGACTTGCATGGTTATGGAAATCTCACATGAGCTGTTGTTGTTCTTGTCACAGAAAACAAGGGGAGGGAAGTTGGAAGATATCCTGAAAACTTTGTCTTCATATCCTTCTTTTACTACCAATGATAAATTTCCAACGACCTGTAAATTAATTTTTAAAATTTTTGTTATGGTAGTGAAAGTTCTTTTTAACAGTTGACTGACTCAATATTTCTTATTTTAATTAATTATCATTTACATTTTGAATTTAAAATATGTTATTGTAGCCTTGTAAAAACAGTATTTTTTAGCATAAAGATTAAATTATTTATTACCCCAAAAATACAAAACATAAATATAACTTATGAAATTTTTAAACCTTTAAGTTAAAATAAAAATCATCACTTTTCACAACTGGACCCTTGGATTGGCTGCATCTTGTTGAAACACAACTAACTAATGCACAGTATATCTGATTGAAATGAAAAACAAATAATAATAAACAAATCTCTTAATTTATAAGCCCACTTAAGGATGTTTAAAGCTAATGATTACTTTTAAATATTAAATATAGAAAAAAAGCTATTTGTTGATATTTTTTAAAAGTTACTAACCTTTGATTGATGTTTCAATCCTATAAAATTTAGGTAAGACATTTCATAAGCTGTTTTGTTACCAATTATTTGCATTTCATTTACAAGATCATCATCGTGATACCACTGAGCATATATTGTGTAGTATGTATCAAAATTAACAAAACCAGTCCAATCACAAACAAAGTTAAACTGGTTTAAGTTAATTTTAAAACTAGTTGTCAGGTTTGGTTTAATCTCAATTTTGATGAAATCTTGAAAAAAGAAAAGTCTTTTAAATATATTCAAATTATTGTGAAAATAAATAAAAATCATGAATGGACTATGTAAAAAACTATTTTAATTTATTTTTAGAAAAATTTCTTACCATTTAGTTTTGTCCAGTCAGATTTATTAGTAGATGGATCACAAAAAAGGTCAGAATTATCACTTTTGATTGTTGTAAAAAGATAACATTCATTTTCAATGAAGCAGTATATTGGCTGTGGAACATTTTATAAGATCAGAGAGATTATTTAAATTTAAAAATAAGTTCATTTGTTTTAGAAATAGAAAAAAAAATATTTGAAAATCTGTGAAATTCATAATTTTTATAATCAAAATTATATGGGGTTACAGTGATCTAATTGTTTATTTCCCTACTACGCCATATCTCACTACAAAAAATATTGTGTTAATGGTTCACAATCACTATTCCCAATATTTAATACCATGCACTTCATCCCATAGATGCTAAAAAAATACACATGGGCATGCACGCACATGCACATACACACACCACTTTATCTCAAATTTGTAACAATGAAATTATGATGAATGTTAACTTGACAAGTTTTACAAAATCATTTAAAAAACTAGACTTTTAATTAAAGTATGTGATAAGTTGCATACTCGTATTTGCATATTAAAATTGCTGGGGAATAAGTGTCAGTGCTTTAGAATCTAGTCACTTAATTTAAAATAAATTTGATTCTAACTTCATTTAATTTTTTCAAATTATTTGATAACCATTCTAAAGTGATTGTTTTGTCTTCAATTAAACACAACTTGAAAATGAAAACATTTAACCTCTAGGAAAATCAATTTATTTTGTGTTTTTTTACTTGTATACATATTACCTGTTTATAGCAATTAGCCCCAGTACATGTAAAGCAGTCTAAATTGTAGGCTTGGTAAATAACAACATTGCTGGTTATGTTCAGTACATTTTGTACAGACAGCTGGAAGCTTGCAGTGAAAGGAAGTTGACATGTGATGCGCTCATAAGACTTGAACACAGCACTGACAATATAAGTGCTGTTGGCTCTGACAGTGTAATTCTTCTCTCCAAAATACTGAAAAATTTAAGCAATCAATTAATTTAATTAAGTGGAAGAGTTTCAAATTTCTAAAAAAATATCTTTATTACTTTCTCTTATACGAAGTATATAGAAAGTATTGTAATCGTGCAAAAAAAAAAATTGAGATTTTTACAAATCTCGACGGTTTACACATCCCTGAGTCAGAAAAACAGAGTTTTGCAATTTTGTCTATATGTCTGTGTGTGTGTATGTATGTGTGTATGTGTGTCTGTAAACATGATAACTTGAACACCATTACACCTAGGTTGATGAAATTTCATATATTAAATTTGTAGTTCTGTTTCAACTTTTCAGCGATTTCCTGTAACCGGAAATGTAACTTATTCTACTTTCAACTTTTCAGAAGCCTATAACTTGAGTACTGTCTCAGATAGATGAATGAAATTTCATATATACATAAAAGATCTACTTTTCTGCCTTCTATCAAATTTTGAGCAATTTCCATTGAATGGAAGTAGTAATTTATGCTATTTCCAATTTCTCAAAAAGCGCATGTGAATTTATAAAGTACTAATAATATTCCACACTATTATACACATTTACTTGGTGCGCGGTTCTTTTTTTCTACGAGATTCTATTCTATTTTAAAAAGTATAAGTAATTAAAACTCATGTCTATATTCTGAGTTGCCATCCCTCGTAGTGTTATATAAGAATATTCTAGAAAGTTTACGGGAGATCAATCCCAGTTTATTTTTATTAACAGATTTTTAAAAAAATATTTCCTCATTTCTTACATTGATCTGCTCAAACACACAGGTCAGATCCCCAGAGTCAACAAAAGGTCCACCTATGACAGTTAAAACCTGGCAGTTTTCAGACTTGACTTCACATGACAGTTTAGGGAGAACACTCAAGATTGTAGGTGGGATCTTCAAGTTAATTGAGCAATCTACACCTCCAAAGCCATCACTGCATTGACATACACCTAATAGGAGAAATAAGTGTATAGTTATTGAAAGGTAAAAATGTTTATTATAAGCATTATTTTTCAAAATTTGTAATCATTGTTATAAATAACACTGCACCTATTTATTTATTTCAACTAAAATCAACCTGTATCAACTTATGTATCTTTACCTTTAGAACAGTTGCCTCGATCATTGCAGTTATTGATGCACATTAAATCCAAGAAGGTCGTGTTTGGTTTATTTGAAACCCAGTATTCAACTGTTCTTGTCATTCCACTTAGACATTGCTCCAACAAGTTACTCAGGGCCTCTACAGCATAATCAGTACTGTCCATTATCTAGAATAAAAACAGTTAAAACATTTATATAGTAAAAATAAAAGAAATTATTGATCAAAATCTTTTAAAATTTATAATTATAATAAAGTGATACTTACTATACTTTTTTTTTAAACTGTTTTTGTTAAGTTTATACACTTCATGTTCATATTTGATAATTTATTTTTAAACTAAATTTGTACCTGTATGTCTGATACGCATGAAGAAACAGTTGTGTTGTAACTCAGTGTAAATATGTCCCCACACATTACTCCAATTGTACTCTGTCTAATGTAGTTGATACAGAAATTTCTTGCCTTCACCTCAGTCCAGTTGGAAAATACAGACCAATTCAGAGCCTGGAGAATTAATTACTTAATAAAAATATGTTCATGTAACAGAATTATTGTAGATTGCATTTCTTATCAATGTCTGGTGTAATATATCTACAAAAGACATTTCTAAAATTTGACTTTTAGCATACATGTGAAGTGTAGTTGGCATCATATTCAAACTGTTCGCCATTGCATTGTGGAGTTAAGCTGTTGTTCACATAAAATTCTGTCACATCTATGCCTAGATTTAAAAAAAAAAACATAAATAGTATATCCTTCTTCTTCTTGGTTCTTAATTTTAGTGTTCAAAGTGATTCCCTCCTACACAATTAAGCTGTTGTGTCAACTATTTATGCACCATATTTTAAATTTTGCCATGAAAATAAGTTAAGCTTACATGTGTGATCCTCATGGCTAACAGTATAAGTAAACAAAAGGTATGTACCTCCACCATTTAATTTCAATGCTGTGTTAGACAAAGGACATTTGACAACATTCAGCCCAGTTTGACACTCTGAAGAATCATTAGCCGTGCATCTACAGAATAGGCTTTCTGATGTTGTACTATCTGTGGCACAAATTCCACGATAGTGGGTCAGTGTAGAATTGACTCTGTTGAAAGATTTAAAATTTGAATAAGAATCTTCACTTTAACTTATATTTTATTTAAAATTAAATATAAATTGAGTAATCATTCCAGCTTTTTTATGTTTTTATTTAACACCTCATGAAAACCAAAACCCACTAATAGCTCATAATAATTTATTTTAATTAATGTTGCTCATTACCGCCAAGACAATGTAAACTCATTTGGTTCTGTAGATATACCAGTGAAAATTGTCCCAGATGGCATTTTCCAATCATCTGATGGGTCTTTATTGTAGTTGCCACATAAGCCTTTAAGGAAATAAATAAAATGAAATGCATGCTAGAATCAAAATATTAACAAGGAAATAGACATGGTAATTACAGCTTTGCTCCACAATACAATGTATAGCCCATCTTTTTTATTATATATATCAATATATACACATGCGCATGCACATGCATACACACACAATAGACATGTTAATGTTACTACCTTCTGTATTGTTGAAGTCAAGAGCTGATGCTTGCACCCACACATTAAGGAAATGGTTTGTGACAGTGACTTTGATTTCAGTGCCAGTAGGTAATGTAATCTAAAAGATTAAAAACAATTTAGTAAATATACACTATTTCTTTAACAATTTCAACTTAATTTAATTATTAATTTAAATAAATTGTTTTAGCTGAGTTTTAAACTAAAACTTTCAAAATGTAGATGTCACACCTTGAACTTCCTACCCTCCAGTTGTTGAATGATACGTAAACCAGGTGTCAACATTCCGTTTTTGAATATTTTAACCTCTACAGGTATAGGTTTGTCACTTGCTGTAGATCCACATCTATCAATGAGAATGACATCATCTCCATACTTGACAGACACAGCACAGTTACAGGCAGCCTTAGTGTTGCATTTTCTGTAGTATCCGTGGACCTAGGAAATAATAAAAATCTATTACAATATCTTACTTAACTCACAGAAATATGGTCATCTGACAATGAACTTTTTTTAAAAATAAAAAGAGTTTGTAAACCACTAATACTTCTCATTTACTAATGTTCATGAACATGTGTTTATTTGAGTCCCTATAACTAATACAAAATCCAAACATTTGTTTGTCCAGACTAAAATCTTATTAGATCTAACACTTATAAAATTTTTACAAAATGATTTACATACCTCACATGGTAGAGTTGTATGTTTGTAAAGTATGAATTCTCCTTCCAAATATATATTATATGTTCTGAAAATAGGAAAGCAATAAAGCTAAAGAGAAATTCATCATCTTTTTTTTTTACTTTATGTGTGAATTATCAAATTTAGATAACAATATTTTTTCATCAAATAAATTAAATCTTATTTATTTAGTTTAAAATTAAAAATTGTTACAACAGTTATCAGTAAGAGTTAAAATACAAATAAATTTCACTACTTTAGTTATTTATATGATCTGTTGTTGTCTAAGAAAACACATTTCAGTGAGCTATAATTCTTACCCTTTTTGTTTCTTTTTGTAGTTTTTTTTTTGGCAGTTACGATTTGTATTAATGTCACTAACATATGTTGCTCCACATTCTCATTAGTATTATTATAAAATGAAAAATTGTTCTTAGCTCTAAATGAATAAACTCTAATTAGAGCTATTTTTTTTTTGGTTGCTCAAAGTGATAACTGTATTGATTCTTCTTAAATAACTGCTTTTCCCACAGTGTTTAGCATATTAATTACATCAAGTTTTTTTAAATCCTCAAAACAACTTCTTAATTTCACTGTAACATAATTTATTGCAGCGATCAAAATTTCTATTAGTCTTACTAAATTACCTTACTCCAAAAATAAAAATTTCCTGTAGACCTTTAAAGAAAATTCCCAATGGAATAGATTAGGAATGTTAAGTCTTTATGTTATCTATAAAACTTCTATGAAAATTAAACTTACTGTCCATCAAATGAAGACATATGAGGGTCATTCACAGACCCACACATAGTTGAAATATCACGATCAATGATGTTTACCTAGAAAATATTCTTTTAATAGTTACACTTCTGAACATAGATATCTTTTTACAAAATATTTATAAAATTTGATTGTTAACAATATAAAAAACTTCACTAATGTAATCATGATATACTAATTGCAATTTTAGAGAATTCTTACCTGCTGTTGGCCTATTGATCTGATAACTTCAACAGTGCTGTTGTATTCAAATTTGATGAAGACCTCAACAGACCTAGATATGTGCCCTTCTACAAGAGAGTCAATGGTGGCTGACACAGGTGCCCTCACAGTTGGCCATTTATTAAATCTGGTACTGCAACTTTCCAATTCTTCATGTAAAAATGTTTAAAATTAATAATATGGTTTGATATAAAAGTGAAAGTACATGTTTTAATTACAATGAATCATTTACATTTTAAAACAAAACATCTAACATTTTTAAACTGTCTATTAATAAATCTAATTTTTTTCACAAACCATTGTCTATGTGAGGAAAGATGAGCTGTTGAATAACTGTATCACTCTGAGGGCATGTGTATTCATTTGTTGCCTTGACATATTGAAGGCTGACATACACAGAACACAGCTCAACACTACTGCCTTCACATAGCAGATGTGTAGGTACATTAGCTGCCACTTTGATATAAGCAGGTCCCATGCCTTCTGTCACCACCACATTCTGCTCTACAATCTGAAAAATAAATCACAAATTTAAGCCAAAGATTCTTTAAGCAAAAATAAGCTATTAAATTAATTGAATAGATTAATTCCTTACTGCAATGTTAACATGGAAAGCATTGCTTGTTTTTGGTGGGCTTTCAGATGAAGTACAATTATCTGTATAACAGGCTGTTAGAACACATGACACCTATTTGAAGATACAGATATAATATTTAATCATAACATGATTGATGGTGCTGTCAGAAGTAAGAAAAATGATTCTATTTTAACAATAACAATATTATGCTATTATGGTATATTTAAAAATAAAATTAAACCTTTATAATTTTAACTTTATCCTTAAATTAATTACCAATGAAAATAAATATGTTTAGTTTTAAAGCAATTCAACAACATTAATTCTGATTAAAAACCAAACTTTCTGTTTGAAACTGACAACACTTGAAAACAAAAATAAGTGCTATGATAGTAATCTGTTGGTGTAAATAATATTCTACTTACATTAGACATGTGAAAAAAGTTGGGGATTTCAGAAACATTTAGTTTGAGAACTGTTGAGTTAACTCCCATGTCAGTAACATTATATTTTGTTACTCGCTGACTCAAATGTAGCCATTCAATGAAGTAAGTTACTTTAGGGTGCTCATGTTCAGTAAATTCACACAGGAATATGAACTCATCTAAGGTTTCATTGTAAGATGTTGAAAGCACTGGTTTGCCTCGAATGTAAGGATAATCTGTAAAGAAATATCAACATTTTTCTAAACTGATGCATTTTAAAAATGAATTTAGTGTCTTATCTATTTTCATATTAATTTACCTCTTTTTATGCTCCACTTGTCAGGTGCGTCATAGTTATCACATACGAGTGACTGGTTCTGTGGATTCTCTTGTCCATAGAAAAAGCACTGATTGTTGATGAAGCACTTCTCAGGCTATGGGAAATACAAAATACAATTATATTGAAAATGTTAATTGTACTCTAGTAACTCAAAAATTTATTTAATAATATAAAAGTAAATTTAACAAAGGAAAATATAGTGTGATTTTTTTTTAAATATTTAAAAACAAAAAACTTACAGCTAATGTACAAATGCCTGTTGCATTACAGTTGAGACAATCTGGATTAAATACTGTGAAGATAAATGGCTGCCTGAAGCTGCTGTTATTGTTACTGATCTGGACTTCATAGCTACCAACATTTGCTAATGGACAAGTAATTTCATTGAAGGAGAAATATGAAGCTTGAACAAACGTAACATTGTCTGACCTCTCAACTTTTCCATTTAATACCTGACAATAAATTTGTTTTGAGTTTTTTATTTTGAATGCAGAAATGTTTCATAATTTTGAATGCATGTTTAATCAACAAAGTTCCTTTGTCAGCCCATAAGAAAAACAGTAGTAATCTTACTTTTCCTAAGCTAATGATGAACTAGGACAGTGTCGCTAACTTTCCCAAAATTAAATCAGGTGACTACTAACAAATTGGGTTTTGGGTGGTTGGGGGGGGGGGGGGGGTGTAACTGAAACAGCTGGAATAAAAAAAATTAAATTAACTAGCACTTAAACCACCTTGGATTAATGATCACAACCAAAGATCAATCAATTTTGCAACTAAGATTTTTTTACATGAAAATCATTAAATAGTCTTATTATGTAACAAATGAAGAATAAATTTAAAAAATTAAATTGCAAAATCAGAATCCACAAAAAGCTGTCATCTATAAACAAATGTTTATGATTAGCACTCAATCTGTGGAGGGAGGTTATCAATTTTTAATTATTAAAATGTCTCATTTTCAAGTTAGAATTACATCAATTTTTTGCAATCTATGAGCTTCTGCTAAATTTTCATCAGATTGTGCAGAAAAATCTACCACACTTTAACATTCTTTAAGCAAAAGTAAGTTAGCATCAAGTAAATTTTCAAGATTACACAATTTTTAATAATGGTGACATACCTTCACTGCTAGTAATCTACAGACAAGGTTTTGTGAATAAACAAAGGTTGCTCCTGTCACTGTGATAGAACTACATGCAGACTTTGAAAGGTCACATAGACCATCATTTTGTACTGAGTAGATGGTTGGTGGGATTAACATATTTACTGAGCAATCAGCCAATCCAAAGTTAGTTTCACACTTACATGTGCCTAAATAGATTGTTTTTATTTTTGAGTTATGTTTTTAAAAGACCAATAAATAAACAGTTTAAAAACTTTTCAGTGGAACCTACTTAAAATGCATATTCAACATGATATGCACCAACATTTACCAAATAATGGTGAAACCTTTGCTAAAATACTGACAGTTTTAGGTAAAGTATCTGCATGTAGTGCATATCCATCATTATTTAAGAAAAGTGGAGACTTGATAAAATAATTTTTTTAACAAAATTTTATGTGGAATAGAATATCTCTCCATTAATATTCATTACAAAACCATAATTCTTATATGCTACCAATATGATAATCTACTGAAATAAAATTTTTACAAATGAACCTAAGAATTTTTTCTAGTAGAAAATGCATCACTATTTATTATGTTTACAAAAGTTGAAAACATTAATTAACCTGTAACACATGTTCCTCTTTTTGAACACTGATTAAAGCATAAATTGTTTGCTGAGCTGACATCAGCTCCAAACAGTCCTGAATTGTTGACTAGGGTGTTAATGTATTTCAGTCGACAAAGGGATATGAAGACAGAGAGGCTGGAGCTGGCCCATGTTAAATTGTTTGAGAGCTGAGAGATGACATAAGAGTTAAAGTGAAAAATTATTTCAAAAGTTGCAATGATAAAAAAAAACATTTTACAGTTATTTCTGTAAACTGAAATGTGGATATAACATATGGGGTATGATATATCATTGTTTAGATATTAATGATATATACAGCTGTTATGCACTAATTATTTTATAGTATGGAGGCAAATAAATAAGATAATTTATATAATTTACCAGAGTCTTGATTACCTGTATGTCAGTAACACAAGAAGTAACAATATTTTTGAAATGTGCTGGCATCAAACTTTGACACACTGCACCCTGAGTGTCATTAGTGATAGTTTGTTCACATAGCTCAGTAGCAAAATCCTCAGTGTAATTAGATTCAGTGGGCCAGCTTGCACTCTGCATAAATAATTAGTTTTGTTTTAAAGAATTGTCAAATAGCTGTTTGAGAATATGACTCCAAATATTTTGATTTTTTTTTTTTAAAGTGTTGAGTACAAATAATAATTTACAATGCCTGTACTTGTAAAAATAAAGAATATATAAGGTCATCACAGAGGTAATATAGTCTGGCCTTGATATTTGAATATAAGCCTACTAGACCATATATAATGATTGCCATAATTGTTGGAAAAACCATGTACTGCCATAAATAAGTAAGGTTTTTTTTTAAAGAATGTTTACAGTTCACAATTATATTTACAAGCTCAAGAAAAAAAATGAAATAGTTATGTTTGTTGTATAATCATGTTACTCAATGTTTTACATTTACATAAGAATAACTTATATGTATAAACTTGTTTTAAAACTGTAAAGGATATTTATATGCTTATTACAACAATTCATAAATTACAAAAATATTCTGAATTGGTTCCCTGTAGAACTACTAATTGTTTAAGTGAAAGAACATCACAAACAATTAAAAGTTTTTAGAACTAAAAGACAATCTACACATAATACTAATAACTACTAATACTAATTACTAATAACTACTTATAATATATTATGAACCTTCAACACTAAGGCATTATGGAAATTCTATACATGAAACCTCCATCCAACTTTTATATTTTAATAACATTGTAAAAAACCAAACATTTTATCGATTTTTGTTAATAATGTTTTTAACATTTATAGTTGGTGCCCAACTGTTTATAAATTTTCTACAGTACAAATCTACATTCAATGAGGTCATAATATCAACTGTTTTTCTTCTTCTTCATTCTTAAAATTATAATGCTTGACAAGATATTCTCTAACACAATTAAGTATTTAGAGTGAACTTGTTATGTGCTGAATATTCAGCTGAATCTTATTTCAGCATACTTTTCTTTCTCAATTTGCTTCCTTTGTCCATCCAGGAACAACCTATAAGGCAGTAGTTTTTTTTTATTTTGTAGTTTTTCTCCTAGATGAGTTGCTGTACCAAGCTATCTAACCTCATCTGCATCAATTACCCAAATTTTCAAATAAATTTTTAAAATGAGTTCTTCTAATTTAAAAAATGGTACGATAAGGAATTTATCTATAAGATTTACAAGTTATGCAAATGAGGGTAAAATCCATAAAAGATTAACAAATCACACAATGAGGATAAAATCCATAAGTTAGAATTGCCTTTTAGCAAATGTCTGCATTTTTCATACTAGAAAAGGATTTCATTATTAAAAAGATTTCCCAAATCTATTTTAAAAAACTGATTGATTTGTTAATATTAGGTGTTCACAAATAAAGTTTCCACTGTAAAATGTGATTTTGAGAAATTGTAATGTGATTTTATTCTAGTTCCTGTTAACCAAAAGGAAATAGTTTTTACTGAATAGTAAAGGTAAAGAAAGAAGAAAAATAAACTAATTATATAACAAGTAACACACAAAGCAATTAATAAATGCAAAGTTTTAATGGTTGGAAATTGACTAAAGCTACCGTGCAGATGGAGATTCTTTTTGTCAACTAAATACATTATTTTTTAATAGTTAAGATTAATAATTGATGACCCTGAATTTTTTATCACAGTCAGGCTATATCTGTTTCAGTCGGAAACAAATTTTGTTTTTGTTGATTGAACACATAAATAACAAATGCAAATGGATGCTTTAATTAAGGTACATTCTGCTTCTATCTCAAACAAGTAACTGTTGATATTTTTATGTTCTAACAAAAATGCAAGTCAAATCGCAATAAAGAGCGTTAGTGTTAAGTTTAAAATTGTATGCTATTTATAAATAAAAGAATTTGAACATTTTAAAAAAGTGTTTGACAAAGGACTTGAAAATCACCACACTAATTTCCTCACAGTGAGAGATTTAGTATTTACACTGGAAAAAACTAATACTCAGAAACAGCTTAGCTTCCCTCAAACCTCTTAACTTTGATTCTTCCTGTGACATACAAAAAATATGACATTAAGAATACATAACATGAAAACTATAATAAATCTCACATGGCTAGAAGGAATCATGTTGTTTTTAAACATTACACACATATTATTAATTTGCTGAGAAATCATTTTGTTAATTTTTTTTTAATTGAATGAACTATTTCAAAATGTAATAAAAGCATGTTTGATAATTAATAATAATGATAAATATATTCAACATCTAGAAAAGAAGAGTTGTAATATATTGAGCTTTATATTGAGGGGAACTCACTCTTCTTGTATTAGTCTTATAATGTTTGAGTGATGTCCCTTGCATGGGCTTTCTGTTTTTCCGATTGAGAATAAAACGTGGTGTGCATAGAAAATGGCTTCCTCGTCTGTTGTGTTATCTATCTAACTACAAATCTACTTCAAGAGTGATTACAGGATTGACATTGTATTTGATGCCTTGGATAAAAAGCATTTAATATGAAATATAAAATTAGTAAACAGATATATTTCTTGAGTATTCAATGCTATATTTTTACTAAATGAGGTGAAAAACATACCCCAGGATTGAGATTAGGGCTATATTCAAAAGTGACTTTGCTGCCTGCACAATCTGGTTTCAAAGCTCTAGTCAATAGTATAGGAGTGATGTCTTCACCTGACAAAAAATTAGAAGCAGCACTGAGAACAACTTTTATTTTATTTACATTGTGGTTTACTTTTGAAATGACAAACATTAATATAAATAATACCTGACTTATATTACCAGGTAAAAAACATTTATTTAGAATAGCATGACTCAAATTTAAAGTTCTTTTCCAAAACTTTTTCTAAAAAACTGCCAAGAAAAATCTTTGTTAAATTTTACTCTTGTTTAGAGAAGTGTTTTACCTTTCCAGTAGTTGAAGTGATCACTTTCTCTGATACAAGAATTAAGTTCTCCATATGGGCTACAAGTAGCATTCGTTAAGGCAGGACAGTCACATAGGCTTTTGCTTGTTTCAGTTGATTGGATATGGCCACAATATCCAGAATAGATACTTTCAGTCTGGCTCACTCTTCAAATAGAGATTTTATTTTGATTTATTTTATTTCATTTTGTTTAAAAAAAAATAACATTTGGTAATACATCATTAAAAGTCCAAACTATTAATAAATAAATAAATTTTACCTCCATGATTGTGTGAAAATATCTGGCCTTGTTCCTGCTCTGTTGAAGTAGGTGCCATCAGATTTAAGTAGTGATATATCCTTGTCACCATTATAATCTCCACAGAGACCTAAATCATAAATTTCATTTAGTATTTTATTAAATAGCTGCATTGTATATACCTACTCTACAAGACTTAAATGATTTTATTTAAATCGAATGATTGAACCAACCTTTAGTGTGCTTATAATCTTTAGCTGATGGAACAATTAAAACATTCACATAATCAGCTTTGGCATCTACTTCAATTGTAGTACCTGTTGGTATTTTAACCTAATGTAAAAAAAATTTAAAATGTTTAAATTATTTACATGAGTGATTGATTAAATGTAATAGAAAACAACTTTTTAGATTAAATCTGTTTCACATTCTTTAAATATTAAAGTTCCTCAAGAATTCTTACCTCATACTTAAGACCACCACCCACTCTTCTAATTGAAGTTTTGGGTGTCAGATCATCAACTAAAAACAGTTTAACAGCCAATGTCTGTGTTGGGCTCTCATTAGCAGATGCTCCACACTGGTCAATTAAAATGACATCATCAAGGGATCTTACAGCTACTGCACATGTGCAAGAACCAAGAGATTTTTGGCTGCATTTTCTATAGAATCCATGGACCTAGAAAGCGGTGGTTAAAACATTTAAAAAATTAATTAAGAACAAAATTCTAAAAAGATTGTACTATAGAAAACATTTTTTTTCTCTAACAGTACTTTAATTTTTAAAAATAACTTCATTTTATTAATGCACATTTTTTTTAACAATCTTACCTCAAAACAAAGTGTGTCATGAGCATAGAGAACAAATTCTCCCTCATAATTATTGTCATAGTATCTGCCATCAAATGTCTTCATGTGAGTATCAGTCATAGATATACAGACTGCATCAGTATCACTGTCTTGTGCTGTCACCTAGAATTTTTTTTAAAAGTACATAATTAAACAAAACTGTAACACATTCTTTGTTTATCATACTTCTTAACTTCAAAAAAGTTTTTCTATGAAATCTCAGCAACGTTAAAATTTATTAAGAATTCAATATGTTTAAAATAAAAATATTTAATTTAAAGAGAGATATCCCTTACCTCAACTGTTTGTAGGATACTTGACCACATCTCAACACCACTGCTAGAGGTGACACTTCCCAAAACATGTACCACTTGTGTTTGATTGCCATCTATGATGTTGTCTATCTTTGCCTCTATGTCAATCACTGCATCCAATTGCCAGTTGCTGGCTGTGATCTCAATACCGCATGATATGTTACTCATAGATTTCATGGCCCCTGTACTCAGAGCTATTTGAGACCATGCACCTGAGCTGGGACATACAATGTTTTGGTAGCTTGGATCAACCCAGACTTTGATATTTAAGGTGCAGGCTGATGTTGAATTGAATGAATCACAGAGGAAAGCAGGTGGGAAATTACTATGTATTGTTATATTTTTTCCAGGTTGACCTTCTTGCACTAGTAGAGCAGCTGGGCTTGTAACCTGCAAACAGATTAAATAAAATTGTTAAAGTATATTATTTTGTGGTAGCAAAGAAAAATGGTCAAGCAGTATTTTTTTTATTTTTTTTAAACTATGAAAAATCACTTTTTAGTTAATTTCAAGACAGTCAAAAGAAGATGTTTAGAAAATATTTTAATCTGTAAAGAAATCGAAAATATTATTTTTATAGACATTATAATATCCAAAAAAAAAATTTTAATAATGAATGTGAATATATATCTTAAAAAATAAATTATTATTTGCATTCCACTTGTTAAATAACAATGAGAGCTTATCAAGTTATAAATGTTCAAACAATCTCTTACTGTTACAGAAAGGCTCAAAACTTGGCTTTTTCTGAATCCTCCAATAGTTGCTTCACAGCTTCCATTGACACATAGACTTACACCACAAGAAAGCTGAAGGTAATGTAAGAAAACAGAAAATAATTTTACTTCTATACAATTCTTAGGATATTTGTAAAGTTATTATTAGTAGCATAGAGCTTATTTATCTATTATTGTTAATCCTAGATGTATAAATTAATAGTTTTCAAATAATGGAAACCACTCCAAATAATAATATCCAGTTACAGTTAGTTACTTTGGTTACTGAAAAGATTAAGAAGGTAAAAGTTAATCCTAAATGTAAAATGATTGACATACCTGAGCACCATATTTCAGGTTGATTAGTCTGCCTGGATCCATGCCTACCCAGTATGTGTTGTTCTCTTTGTTGGTAAAGATTGTTTTCCTTTCCACTACTTCATCTTCTATCAAAAATTTGACATTTGCTTGATAGATTGTGCCTGAATTTGATATATTAAACTTGCAGAAAAGAGTATAGATGTCTTGGCTTAAAGTGTCCTTCTGTGCAATAACAGCTTCAGGGTTTGCAGTAGGTAAAGCAATCTCAGTTTCTATAAAGAGAGAAAAATGCATTGTTATTAAATTATGAATTTCATAGCTGAACTTTTGTTGAACAAAATATATTTTATTTCTATTTTTAAATAGTGTCAATAAATATATATGTAAAACATTTTTTGAAAAGCATAAAGGCCTACTCAATCAGTTAGAAAAGCTATTTACACTTCATGTAGAAATCTAGTTGATACTTTTAAAAGAAAAGAAAATAGTTCAAAGTGTTTCTATTTAGATTATAATATTTAAAAAAATTTTATGTGAATTCTTACCAGTATTGCAGTTCCATTCTTCAAAAACATAGCCAGGCCATCTGACAAGCCCACTTCCTGCAGTAAGACTTGTAAGGGCTGAGAGGTAACATAATTTAGCATCTCGCAGCAGTTGAATGGATCGACAGGTAAATTTCTTTTCTTCCAAGCAATATCTGCGACACTCATTTATACTTGAAGTCACTTTTGGCTTGTCTTGTGTTTTTACAAAAGCAAATCCAGGTTTATTTTTCCATGTAATGTTCCTCATTTGGCATGGATCTAATGACATAAGCACAGTAGCAGTGGGAAAATTAGTTAAAATAATGGTATTACTTTGTTCAATATTCAGTTTACATTTTGATGGTTATTTTGTATTTAAAGATTTCAGTAACAGTTAAATTTGCTAAAGTAAAAAATAATATAGGAATTACAGTTTTCACAAATCCATTCATAGTTGTAGGTGGAAGAATCAATCAACAGTGCTGAGTCTTCTGTGTTGAGGCTGCATTCATTACTGGTTGAGTTGAAATCAAAGGACAGACAACCATCGCTATCTGCACAAAGTTCTTTACAGAAACTAGTGTCGCCATTCTGGGACTGACCACCAGAGATATAACCTTTCTCTTTTAGCCACATAACAGGAAGACCTCTACAGGAGTCTGAATAACACAAGCTTTTTATTTTAAACAATACCAAAATGGCATAGATAGATAGAAATAAGACTAGACTGGTAGAGATTAATAAGGACGATGTAAACTTTAGTTGGTATTGACGGTAGACAATTTGGTTTGAGAGTATGTGCAGTTGTTTAATAAAATATGTGAGCATGAGTGAGATGGGATGATGTTAGCAATGACGTAGGACGCGAGACTGAAGAGATAGTAATGGGTTTTGCCAAAATCGGAAAGGACATGTTATATATTTTGTAGTGTAGATCTAGTATTACTATTGGTGGTTGATGATTAAAGTTCAAGTTAGTTGATGAAAAAGTTAATTATATTTCATAATTGGACTTGTTGATATCATTAGTGTCATTGGAAATAAGAGTTTTCTCATTCTTATCATACGTTTATACTAATAGTAATAGAAGTAATTCATCACATATCACACATCCGTTCCCCCCACCACATTAGCTACCCATTTGAGTTAGATGTGCTGAGGTTTTCAGGTTATACGTTGTGCTCTCTATTACCCAATCACACCAAAACATAAGTATAATAGAAGCAAATATTTATATTAATTTACTTTACCTTTAGCCACTTGCCAAGTTGTGACACTAATAGATGAATTACAGAACTCTCTTACAGAATTTGGATTAAATTCACCATCTTCATAGCAAAGGTTGTTGATTAGGCATGTTGAGGTCTGTTTAACAGAATATAAATACATATATAGTTTATTGTCTCACAATATTTAGTTAAATAGAAAAACAGGAAAATGTCTTACAACCAAACTTTGCAATTTAAACATATTTAAATGATACAAAGGAAAGTAGGCTTAAATAATAATTTTAGGTTAATTTAGTATAACTAAATTCATTTTTTTTTTCATTACTAAATTAATATATTTTAAAACATTTCAAAATAAATTGTTTATAACAATTAGCACCTTATTTAAAAACACAAATTCTTTACCATTATGTCTCTGCTGGTAACTTTTCATATCTTAGAAGTACATAAATCAAGTGTATAAAAATAACTGTTTCATTTCATATTCATAAGTAACATCATATAAATCAAAAGTAGACTATAGTGTACAGAATTATAAACTACCTTTTGGGTGCAGGTTGTATTTGAAGTAAAGCAGTCCATGCATTGTGAATCGTAGACAATGACAAAAGCTGGTGCACTCAGTGAGTTTTCATTTGTAGCTATCTGAACCTGGAATGTTCCTGCTTCTGGCAATGAACACTGCACTTCATTTACAGTCAAAAATGTGGCATTTGATTTCGTCAGAGCACTCAAAGATCCAAGTAAGTTGTATGTACCAGAAGCATTGCTCTATGGAGAGGAATTGGTTGGGTTTTTTAAAAAGAAATTTTTGATGAATAATAACATTTTCAGCATTACATTTTTTTAAACATAATTATAGTTTCAAACTTATCACAAGTCGTTTAAGTTTTAAATATTTAACTAGCCATGGGTACCCGATTCACATAAATTATAGGCCTATATATTATTGGCCTTTTAATGTTATACTTGTTTGAAAAAAAATAATTTATAAAATAGTTTTTGGTCATAACGCAGTGTTCTGGAACACTGGCTATACATTGTTAGTCAACACCATGTTAAATGCACACTCATTAACGATTCCGTTAAAACCCCGGCTGTTCAATGGTATTTATGCTGTTTTTTAAAGTAATTTGTATTACTTTTGGCTGAGAAAATAGTATACATTTCATAGCGTATGTCTTGATGAGTAGACCTAAAGATCTAAATCAAATTTGAATGAAATAGTTCATTTCTTCATAATCTAAAATTGGAAGATGACACCATAAGTTTTGTGTACTTTCCATAGTTTAAACATATGGCATATGATGTCATTGTTTATTGCATTCTTGTCACAATAATAAACACTTTTCCAGTTGCAAAATTAAAAATGTGATTCTAAATTCAAATATGCCTTTATTTTTATTTTCCTTCTTTAAATAAAATTTAGTTTATATATTTAAAACATCCAACATATTATTTTCAACAAACGTCCTTATCTTTAAGTTCTCCATTTATAGCTGAAGATACTGATCACATAGCCTCTTTTAGTGAGAGAGAGAGAAGTGCGCACATGGGCTTTTATACATTAGGATTATATATTTGTACACACCATCAGTTTTGTGACATAGCAGGCAAGTTCAGGCACATTGACAGTGTTGTTAACATACAGTACAACAGTGCTACATTCTTCATCACGTGTATCACACAGACCACCATTAGCCAACCCAAAGAGATTAGGGGGCAGGTTTGTCTCCACAAAGCAATCACTACCACCATAGCCAGAGTTGCACGAACAGACACCTTCAAATTTAGATAATTGATGAAAAATACATAGAATGAATTCAAATAATTTATAAACAGATTTGAACCATCAGGGTGGGTATATCTTTTTAAAAATGAAATTCCAGACTTTTTATATATAATAATGTTTTAGTGACTAATTTATAAAAGATGCACATTTGTACTTCCTTTTAATTACAGTACAATGACAATTATTTTAGGCAATTGACATAATGTTTATATTTAACTTTCTCTACCCAAATGTCAGAAAATAACTTTTCTGAAACTAAATTACATACTCTTTATAAAATCCAGCACAATAACTAGTGATTTTCCAGATGTTTTAAAGTCTGAAATTCAGACTTTTTCTGCACCTAACAGACTAACCCTGTACATTATTAATGAAATTCAATGTTCAAATGCTATTAATAAAAAATTAATTTAAATTCTAAATAAATTTAAATTCTAAATAAATTTATTTTATTTTATGTTTTACTTTATAAATTATAGCCTATCTATGCTGCCAATTGTTAGTAGAAGTCCACAGAGTTTACTGAAATGTTTAGTAGGTGTTACCTTGTGTACAAGTCCCAGTTGCACCACATTCAGCTATGCAGAATAAAGAAGTATAACTTGTTGGAGGAGCTTTTGGATCACCCTCCCATAATGAAGTGTTGCGCTCTAACTCTATTTCACATTGTGTTTGTATACTCTGTACAGCAGCTTTTGACCAAATGTACTGCCCTGTTTCCTGTATATTTATTTTTAAAAGTGAATATTTCTTCTTAAGTTACAAGTAGACCTATATTAAAAAATCATAGTATAAATATATTAATATGGTACTTACAAACATATCATAAATCAAAGATTCTTTAACTGCATACATCCTAACTGCACTGATGTCTTTACATGTTAAAGCTATGTTATCTGATTCTAAAATTCCTTCAGCTAATACCGTAACAGCTTTATAGGTAAAACCTGATGGACTGGTGAGACTTGTATTGATGAACTAGAGAGAAAAAAAACAATGTGATTTAATCGTTGCAGATTGTAAAAAAAAACAGAGAGTATGCAATGAGAGAAAAAATAGCATGTCTGTTTCATGTTTGTTATAAAGCAGTGAGGGCAATGTGAAATGGTTATCTATATAATAATATATATATATAGTTAAAAGAAATCAATAAATTATATAACTGGGAATATAAGAATATTAATATCTTAACTTATAGCTCTTTGTTTTCTATATTTAAAGTTTAGAAATAGTTAAATACCACAATTCTGCATGTTCATTAATTGATTGTTGCAGCTTTTAAAGAGTCATGTCAAATAAGATGGTTAAGAGTGCATTAGCTTACTTTACATTTACATACCTCTGGTTTATAGTTTTGGTTATATTCAAATAGGGGAAATGTTGTGCTGTCATAGTTAAGCTGGTCAAGACACTTCAGTGGGTAAACAGCACGAGCTTCTAGTTGTGCAGTAAAATCTATCTGATCTAAATGTTTTAAATATAAAAAATATTTAAAAGTTTGTTAATCAATCAAAATCTTTAATTTTTTCAAGAAGTATAAAGGAAGCATTTGTAATCATAGAAAAAAATGAAATCAAGATTTGACAAAAAAATTTAAATGAAATGTTATAACAATAAAAGGAACACGGCATAACAAATCAAACAAGTATAATATATATCAATAAACAATTACAAGAAACAAAAAACAAAAAACCCAAAAGATATAACAAAAATTAATTTTCTTTTAATATCTTTAATATTCTATAATGACATTGAAAATTGGAAGGAGAACATCGTGGAATGTACAAGATTGCTCATTGCAAAATTACTTAAAGCAGCAATGGACTGAGAAAAATTATTTGAAAAACAACTGTAGTGCCCCAATGACCAAGGGGTTAAGAGAAGGTTGATTGACTGATTCTATAAAAATTAACAAAAGATTGTAACAAAAACAGATATGGCAAATTTAAGTGGAGTGTGCTGATGACAGAAAAGTCATGTTGAAAAAGCAGCCATGTTAGGGTTAACATCATTGTTGTGTATTGTATAGATAATTTTATTATTTCTATCTTCAACTAAAGTAAACATAAACGTTCAAAAATACAGAATGAGTTCAGGATTCAAGTGTTCTTAATATTAAATAGACTACTTAACAGTCAAATGATATAGAAGATAAAATTCACCTCTTTCCAAGAAAGGGCAAATAACAAGGTCATAGCCATCTCCACATTTTTCACTTGAATCACAGTAACAAAACGAAGATTGTTTTTCTAGCATATTTCCATTATCACAAGATCCAGTATAAAGTGTGTCCTGTGGGTTAACTCTGAAAATGAAAAAAAGAAATCATCACTGATTAAAAACAATAACAGTTATAATTCTCCTCATTATAGTTGTTTTCACAAATATTATTTAATATTTATTATTGTTATACATACATCATACAACTAATATACTTGTTCAGACAGTTCCAATTGTACCCTCTACACTAACAATTTTCATTTCATTTCTAAACAATTTACAATAATCTTCACCCCTATTGTTATAATGACACATAGTGTGGTATACTTATGCTTCAGAATAATACTTAGCATTATCATTCAAGGAGCATACATCTTTAAAATGATTTAAGGTAATTTAATACCACCTTTAATTTCATATCACATAAATACATTCATTTTAATGTTTGGAATTTTCCCCAAAAAGTATATTTTTGTATTTTTACAAGTATTGCTAAGATGCTGATCTTAAAATATGGACAATTAAACAAAATAAATAAATATGTAATAGATATTTCAACCCCTGTGAGTTTTTGCAGTACATAAATATGATGATCAGTATTTGTAAACCTACCTCCAGGTTAAAGAATAGTCATTAGGTTGATTGAGATCTGTATTATAGACTGTTTTATTTGGAAAAGTTAAATCATTGGTGACATTCCCATCGTACATTCCGCAGAGACCTGTTAGAATATTTTCTTTTTATTCTATGCTTCAAACCAATTTGGAATAATTAAAAAGGCTAGGTTAACTTTTGCACCTATTATATTTTTTGTTATGGAATAGATTTATTTTTTAAAACATTTCATTCTTTGATACCTTGTGTCTGGCCATGGTCAACTGGTGCAGGCTTCAACCAAAGGTTGATGAAATTTAAACCCTTGATAGCACTGCGATCCACATACAGGATAGCCCCAGTAGGAAAAATTATCTAAAAATAATAGTTATTGATGATATTAAGGTCTATATAACATACTATTCAACAAAGAATAATTTTGTTAATGAGGCATTTACCCATATAAAGCATAAAAAGTGTGAGGGTTTTCAGAAAGATTGAAAATTATCAAAATATTGATAGTGTCTAATCAAATATCATTATCCACTATATACTCTGAATTTATAACCTTCCTAGATAAACAAAAGTACAAAATAAGAATCTTTAACGCAAACTTTAAAGCGGTATTGTTTTATGGCTCAGGGACCTGAATGGTTATCAAGTCCAATACCAACAGAATACAGTTGTTCACAAAAAGATATCTACATCAAATCCTTAATGCAAGATGGCCAGATCAATGAAGACCTATGGCAAACCACAAAGCAACAGTCAATTGACAGGGATATAAAAAAAAAGCCACAAATGGAGATGGTTCAGGCATGCCCTGAGAAGGAAAAGGGTCAACATCAAAGGGAAAAGAAAAGTAGGCCAACCGAAGCAATCCTGGAGTAGGCTAGAATTGTGTTGATTATCATATCAAAATGTCAAACTTGAATTGATTAAGAATGTCTATTTGGTATTATAATTTATTATATGATATTAAAATTTTTTGGGTAAGTGGCTTTCTGGCATTTGTCGTATTCAGGCAAGTGTCCATTTGGGAAATTGGCCTTCGAGCAAACAGCATTCGGGCAAGTGTCTTTCGGAAATTTGTTGTAAACCCTAAGCATATTATGTACACTCATGTAAATGATGTTAAAACAACCTTGGATAAAATTCAAATTCTGATCAATTTATACACCATAACAATTTGGCACCATAACAATTTGGAATCATGAAAGAGATTGAATGGTTTGGTGGTTGCTAACAAAGGTTACAAATTAGGCAACAGGGCTAATGATTGCAGGTTGTCCCCTGACCTAACTGCCATAAATTCTAACCAGATCGTGTAATACCATGGGATAGGATCAAAATCTCTGGAGAAACAAACAGGATTTAGCAACTGTCAACAAGGGTAAAATAAATATTCAATCTTAAACCCTGTTATGATCTGCCTGGTTCAATAACATTTCTTGAGTTGATTATTCTCTTGGATAAAAAAAATGATTTCAAAATAAAAAGCTAGCATTCTCTGAAAATACATATGAAATAAAAAGACACACAAGCATCTTACCTGGTATTCTCTTCCTTCATACTGACTAAGAATCCTGAATCCAGGACTTAGAATGCCATTCTTGAACAATTTGACAGTCATTGGGTAAAAAGCATTCCCCAAATTTTTTGGACCACACTTGTCAATGACAATAACATCATCTCCTGCTCTTGCTGCAACTGCACAGTTACATGACACACGTCCACTACCACAGGCTCGATAAAACACTCGAACCTTTAGTTTATATATTTAATTATAGTTACATATAAATTAATAAAATAGCTTATAAATCATATCTGGTACATGATAATAAGACATATTACAAGATAAACCTAACCTACCTCTACTCTTAACATTACATCATGTACCTAAGAACATCCTTAATATTTAAAGTTATCATTATCAGCAATATTTGCTGTATGAAATATAGCTGTAAAATATATATCTTTTGCTTGAACTTATTTTTTTTTTACTTTTATTAATGTGCAAGTATTTAATTTTTACATATCTTAAAAAATTATATTTCAGAACAATAGTAAATTCTTATTTGAATTATTTACCTCAATAGGTAGTGTGGAGTGTCGATAGAACACAAATTCACCAAGCAAGAAAACATGAAACAGCCTATAAACACAAAATAAATTTAATTCAAAATCATTTCAATCATTAAATTCAAGACAAATGTAGGCTGTTAAACTGTTTTCTCATACTTTATGTGTTAATAGTGTACAAAATATATGACACTGCAATATTAAACTACAGAATGACACAGTATTTGGTGTATTTATATTCATTAATGTGAAATTTAGGGCAACAAAAACAACAAAAGTTAGTTAAATAAAAACATTATAATATTCATAATAGACCTCTTTAAAAAGTTAATAATGTAAGGGAATTTTTTTTTTTACATTTCAAAAGTTAGCCAATAAATTTCAGTTGAATATAGGTCTTACTTTCCATCAAATGTTGTGATGTGGGGATCATTTACTGATGAACATAAAGCATTGGTATCTCTGTCTACCAATTTTATCTGAAATAAAAACAATAAAAAAATCAAATCAAAATGCATAAATTAGTACAATTAGTACTGATCTTTTACTATCATACTAGAATATACAGTCTAAAAAGCTTAATAAATCATGCTGTTTTGCATTCTTAACTGCAACTTCTCTTAACATGAAAATTAAGTGGGCTGGAAATTAGGGGTTTCAAAGATATTAAGAATATTGTTAAGGAACGTTGTCTGTCAACTAGAGTAAGGATGACTATTTTAACTGTCAAGCTTGAATAGTTGTTAAATAATGTCTTCAAAATATTTCTAATGAACATTTAATTTACCTTAGAAGTTAGATCACCCAATGAAAAATTAAAGGCTGGCAACACAACATTTTTTGATATTTTTAAAGAGACATTGTGGTCTCCATCATAAATATGGTCAGTGACTGCTTTAACATTCACAGAAAAATTTGATTGCCAGTCTGCATTGGTAAAACGTATATCACATGTTGGTGATTCACTGCTGTCCTTTTTTATCATTACAGCTGCCTGTGGTATTTGAGTGCCTACATTGGGAAGATAAAAATCTAATGAGACTTTGCAAAAACAAAGAGTTCATATTCCCTTGCTTTAAGCAAATAACATTGTTTTAATGAAGTTTTTGAAATAAGGGAAAAGTAGTTACCATTTGGACAAGAACTGGGGGTTGTAGATTCTAGTACTTCTACTTTTATGCTGAAATCACAAAATTCAGCACCTTCACCATAACCTTTGCAAAGAAAATAAGGTGGCGCTGTCAGTCTGATTGTTATGGTTTCTCCAGTTTCCCCTTCATTGATGATAAGGTCTTTCATATTTTCAATCTAAAAATGTAAACATTATTGGCAGTTGTTATATACCTTTATTTATCATTTTGATTACAGCAATTATATTTTTTATTTGAAGAGTGTCATTAAAAAATTATAAATAAAGATATAGCCTATATGTTCACTATTAAACCATTACAATTAAGCTGAACTACAACTACCAAACAAAGTAAGAAATATCACATATAATTCTGATTCAGAAATTGATATGAATCCATATCACTGAGATACATTGAAAAAATGCAATGAAGCTAATATTCACCCAATTGTATGAAACATTAGTGATAGATGTTTGATCATTAAAGTAAGTAAGAGATATTTAGGGCCGCATGGTCTAGTGGTAGAACCCTGGTGGTATTCAGAATAAGATAATCCTTACTAGAACGGTTGCCATGTAAATATTAGACATGATGAGTGGTCCTCGAGTGTCTTCACAGTTGCTGGCAATACAGACACTAACTGCACACTGAAGCTGTAATTATATTACATTGGCATTTTATTTCACATTTTCCAATGACAGGATATCCATAAAAGTCAAAGTATAGACATGTAGCTAATACTGCAATAACATTAATGTAAGGGGAAAACTGAGAGGTAATCTTATTCACTTAACAAGGAGGTTTACAAAATCTAAACAAACCAAACTAGACTAGATTAAGTAAATTTTAAAAATCTAAGTCAAGAGTACCTATGATGTACTTTATTTGACTATTAGACTAAAGAAAACCCACCTACAAAATTAACTAAAAGACAAAAACTACTAGAGGAAAAACAAAAACAAATTTTAGTTAAGGGAAAACCCAACAAAAATAAAACTACTAAAAAAACCCAGCCAAAATAGGCAGACTACAATCAACATTTTAACAAATAATACCATTAGGACATGTCTAATTAATTATACATAGCTTGTACAATACAACAATGATGTTCTTTAAGACTAAATCTGTGCAATACAACCATGATGTACATTAAAGGCTAAATATTATCTATGCTAGTATGCATAAGATATATGCACTTACATATGGAGAATTTTACGCTCACACTAAATAAAAATGTTTCCAGGTTCTAAGTTGTACTTGATGCTGGCTTCCAAAATTCTTGACACTATCAGGAACTTGAGTTAATTTCTAATGTTAATAACCTGAGCAATGGCTGCATTATCCTGAATGAGTAGTGTCCAGACTAAGTTTGAGCACTATTATAGTGACTAGTCTACCCGCACATCTTCATTTCCCCAGAGTCCTAATCTTGCTGAGTCAGGCACCAAACTGTCACTTGATGCATGAGATGAAGCTGGGTTACTCTTAACTCCTACATTTCACACTCAATAACTGATCTCTATAGGTCCCCACGCCGTCTCTAGTCTAACAATCCAGGCATGGGCAGTAATACCTCCCTATGGTCATTGGATTGGTGTCTGCCGTTCAACAGTGTATAATGAGTAATAATTCCACCTTGATGTTTTATCTCCAGCTGTATGCCCGAGCTCAAGTTTAGACATAAATCACCGCATGTATCTTCCCTTTGGTACTTGTCAATAATGTGCCTGCATTTAGCTTGTAGCCCTTAATGACCATCACATGATAAAAACATTAATTAGATTTCCTCTGGTCTGCTCATCTCCGAATATCTTAGGTTAAGGGGTTATTTACCCCTTGGGTAGTAGTAAAATGGTGTTTGTAACTAGCACTTAGTCACTTATGCCCCTTTAATAAGCACACAAGTTACTATTTCATTTTAGGCTAAACAACAGAACATCAGTCAACATTAATAATAAAAAATAATTATATTTTATAATACCACCGCTCTGGTAATGCTAAGAAAAATTACAAACTATATCGGTTTTAACAAAACAAATTATAGAGAATCTTAAACACATTTAATTAAAGATTGTATTGTTTTATTCAAAAATAACCCTTATTCCAGTTTTATTCCAATATTAATCATCCTGATTAATAACTCAAAAGTAATTCATAATAAAGCATTTACCATTTCACCCGGCGCTAGTTTATTTGCATTAACACTATCCAAAGTTTGTGAGGAGTTTCCTATGTTAACCAAATTAGTTTCATGGGCCCATATAACATCATATTTGTAATCTTTTCCAGTTAAAGGAGAATATTCACAAGTAAAAATATCTTTGTAGGGTCCACCAAACTGAACATTTATTGTGGCTTTCAAAACTTGGATTTCCATCCTTGTCGATACCCCTGAAAACATCATATTATTAGAATATTCCTTATTTTCAGCAACAATTGCAAAAATAATAATAAATAAATAAATTTTTATATTATAAAGTCCCTCAAGCATTTTATCTCAAAAAAATTAAATTTCAAATCAATTAATGTTTGTGTATATATTATTAGTAATAAGAAATGTTATTTTAAAACATACCACTTAAGCACTGAAATTTTTCATGTATCCAGCCAGGAGCAGGCCTATCAGGTACTGATAAAGTGGGATCTACTAGCACACAAACTCCTCTTTTCTTCAGGAAGTTTATTCCCTGGCAACTTGAATTAGATAAACAAAGAGATCGACAAGTGGTTTCCATCCATATATCACTATGCACTGCTACAGTTGTTCCTTTCACAATATTTTCAAATTTTGTCCATTGTAATTCTTTTCCTTGACAGCGATCTGTAATAAAAATATATTTTCAAACAATAATTATTTATAAAAATTTAACTCCAATTTTCTAAATATAGATAATTTTTAATATTTAAATAGTTTGTTTAACATAAATTAAGAATGTAGACAAAAAGGAGTGTAAAATTAGATATTAATTATTTTTTTTCTTTTAAAAGAGGTAAATATGAGCACTCACCATTTTTACAAAACAAATCAATATGAGTGAAGCTTTGTGCCTGCAACAAGTAATCTGGCACAAGAAAACTTGTGTATTTTGATAGAGCACAATCTTGAGTTATTGTGTTGAAGTCCACAGATCTACAAGGTAAGCCAATCTCTTTTTTACACATGTCTAGACACACATCACTGTCAGAAACATTGCTGTATGTAATGTCATTGTAGAATGCAAGAATACTTGTGCCATTTTCTTTCCTTTCCACTTCAGATCCAAAGCATAAATCTGTATGGCATTTATTTTGTATTAACTAACATGTATTAACTAAAATACTACAATATAATAAATTATACTGTTTTTGTGAAACTGTTTTAACAAGCAGATGATTGTCTCAACAAGAGTTTTAAAATCATTTTTGCCATGTAAGATAAAAAGCAATATTCTAAGACTAAAATACATACATTTGTACCTTACATTGTGTATTTATGAAAGCATTAAACTCACCTGGCTTCCTAGTCCAGTCGTCAGCATTGTTTGTAGAATTACATACTTGTGTGTGATTTTTGGGGTTTTGATCTAAGTCATCGTAGCAGTTTCCAGAGATGAAACATGTGTGGGGCTAAACAGACATAATTGTAGGTAACATATAAATTAACATTACTATCTATAATTAGCATTGATTTATACTTTTTATTGATCAGTATAGATACTTGTTTTACAATGTTTACCTATAATTGTTTTTAAAGTAAATATAACCAAAGTTCAAACCAAAAGTATTTGGTGGAATGTATGATTTCTTTACCTTTCTTTCCAAACTCCCAAGAAATATTTTAAAACAGCTTGGATTAAATGATAGATATGTAGCATTACTGCTAGGTGGTCCATTCAGATTTTTCACACTTATGAAGTAATTTCCTTCTGCTGGAAGTTTGCACTGAATTTGGCTGGCTGTTATGTATGTTGTTTCTGCAGCAAATATGTCCCCATCCACAAGATAGTTGGTATCATTGATCTGTAAGAAGAAATAAAAAGAAACTTTAATGTCATTTTATAATTGCATGTAATAATTTTAATACATTTAATAATATATTTTTAGTCAATAAAATTAAAAATATAATTTCTATTGGTTACATCTTCAAATAAGTAAGTAAAGTAAAGTTTCCCTTTCAAACCTGATGGTATATGGGGCAAGTGAAGTAGAGTTCACTTGTTTCTGTGAAGAGATAGTGTGGTCAGCACTATGCCCAGATGCCTATACTTTCCCTAAAATGAGTTAGGTACCCATCAAAGTTGGGTGGACTCAGGGATGGTCTACTGACTTGAGCCCGGATTTGAACTCGAGACTTACAAGTTAGCAGTCCAATAATAAGACAGACAAGTTTAATAACTGTATTACATTTCTAGACAACTTATTTTAACAGTTGTACATGTTCAAAAATGCAAGAAACAAAAATTCTAATCTTCTAGCCCATGTTAATTTGTTCTTTATTTTGTGCTCCTACTAATATGAGAGAATGCTTCAACATTAAATACATTAGTACTAATGACTAGCTGTATATGCTGAATACATGTTTGATAAATCAAATAATTAGCTAATTCAATTACACAATTATTTTTCTAATCATGAACATTATGGCCTATTCAAAGTCTGTTTTCTTGTAGCTGCAAATGAAAACCCAAAATGAATGAACCTTTAATTTTTGATAATAGCATTTTATGTCAGATGCAAAGGATTTTCCAAAGACTGCGACATAGACACATGTTTCTTGAAGGTTAGTATTGCAAAATTTCTGGTCAAATCTTGTGATGGTTGGAGGGTTGCTCTTCATTATAGAACAATCAAAACCACTGTATCCATCATTACATTTACAATAACCTGAGAAAAAAATAACCAAAATGCTGTTTTTATATCTCTAAACAAATTTAACTGAAAAAATTGCTTAGCATTTTAAATAAATTCAATATCACAAACTATATGGTTAACAAAAAAGATAATTGAAGAAACATAATTTGCCTCAAACTTACAAAAAACATAGAAGCCTAAACTAAATTTTTAAAAATATTTTTACCAGACAGGCAAATTCCTTGGTTTGAACAATCATTTGGACAAAGGACACTTAACACAGTATTTGGCGGACCATTTTGACCATAATAATGATAACATCGTTCAGTAAAGATTCCTAAAAGTGATGTGGCCCAGCTTTTGTTTCCAGTTCTCTGTCAAATATTTTCAATTCAAAATTTATTTATGTTATTGGGGTAGCCTATAACATTATTTTAAATCAAAGTTGTAACTGACTAAAGAAAAAAGTGAGGTGGGGCAGGGGAGTGTGCGGAGACAGTAGGAAAAAAAATTTCAAGGTTTTTTTAAATAATTTTAAAGACTATTAGATCAAGGCCCTGATCGATAGTTTAACCACATCATAGTATGCCTACATTAGTATTTTGTGTAAAAAAATAAGATGTAGATCTAGTGGATTTTTTTTTTTTTAAATGTAGTAAAAAACTCAAAATAACCACATTAAAAATAGATATTTAAATAAAAGCGCTTGTAGAATGTGCTCGCACATCTTAGGCCTCACATTCAAAACTGAGTGAGGTAAAAGTAATGTAATGAGAACAGTGCTTTTCTTTGCACTTTCCTGTTTCATACTTCATAATCTTTCAAATCAATATGCCTTTTCTTTTTGTTAATACAAAGTAGAATGAGAAACAAACAGAGCCTAGTCAGACAAAAGTTTTTTGCCATTTTTATTTAGGAAAAAAGCAGAGTTCTGTAAAAACTGAAATGTTACATGTCTACTAGAGATAATCCTATAAAAAACTGCGTTGGTAAAGTTATATATAAGGTGCAGCCTAGCAGTCATACATAAATGACGTTACATTAACTAACCGAATTTTACCCCAAGCCATATCATCATTAATAGCTAGACAGCCTGACAACAAAGGGCATTAAAAAGTTGGGACTACAGCCCCACCCACCTCTCTAATATTTTCTTTTCAGGACTGCCTGAAATTATAAAAAAATAGTGGGTAAATTCAAGAGGTTCATGCGTGATCACTCTTTCAATAAATAACTTATTTTTAACAAAGCTGTAGCACATTCAAACGGCCATAGTAAGTTTAGAGGCCATTGACTATTGCCCATCCCAGAATGATGTAGGCTAGCTACTGAGTGAACTGCATTCTTCTGTAAACCAGCGCAACAGTCATAAAGCAGGAGAAAATGTGACCATTCAAAACTGGGTAACAAAATGGAAAAATGGATCAGCTGAAAAGATTTCCAATGTTTTTAAAAAAGTTGTTTGGCCGGCAGAAAATTTCCAATCTTTTTTCAACATAAACTTTGTCTCAGATGGAAAAAGTGGATTTCAGGGAAAAACGGAAATGTTACATCACAGTTTAAATAAGTTTAAAGCTGCATATATTTTCATTACTAGAAACCATACCATTTCAGTGTACCAAAAAATGTGAAACCATTTTAAATAATTAAGAAACAGTAGGTATTAAATTAAATTATTAAAAAATACCTTTATATCAGATATGCAATTTTTATAGTCATCACCCTTAATTAATGATAAATTGCATAGATATCCAGCTTTGCTTGAATTAACAACTGTTTCACAGTCTACCCCGGCAGACAGATCTGTGTAATTTGTACCCTGTTAGTTTAGGAAAGATGTTCATTGTATTATAAGAGTAATAGGTTTAGTAGGTACTAAGTGCATCAAATTTTCTCTTAAGTAATAATCACTGCTTATTATTTTTATATTAAAATATAGATCTATTTTGAGAATGTGTTCAGACATTTTTCTTCTTCTTTTTTTACAAATCCACTCTTATCTTGATATCTAGAAAACACACTCATTTTATTAGTATAAAAGGGTTTCGCATGGTGGAGTCAGTAAAGCTCATTGTTGCCAAACCGAAAAGTCTCGAGTTCAAACCCTTGGGCAAATGAGGCTTGATAACTGGCGACAGAAACTCTTCTAGGAGAGACAACTCCAAAATCAAATAACTTCTGCCTTGTAGTTTGTTCTTGGTTGGACAAAGGCTATGGAAGCAAATCAAAAAAGTAAAGCAGGCTGAAATTGGAGTCAATAGCCTACATGACGCATAACAAGTTGACACGTAATATTTAATTGGATTGGAGGGAAACTCTTTCAACATAAAAAATTAAGAAAGAAGAAGAAGAATTAGTAAAAATAGTGTTTTCTAAACAAGTATTGAATACTTACAGTTACAACCATTTCCACATTACTATAACTAAATATGTTGTCTAAGCTGTCTTCAACAACACAGTTGCCAGGCTGATCACTGTTGCTTTTGAGAAAATCTGTTATGTCCTCAACTGTTAGTATATTATTTAATTATCTTTATGAAAACAGTATTTTTTTGTGTTATTCTGCCAAGTGTGGTTTTAAATCTTCAAGTTTCTTTTTTATTCTTTATGGTCAATCCTCCTTAATTATCCCCCCCCCCCTCTCACCATCATCCTGTCCTCAGCTACCTCCCCTTTGTAATTTAATATTATTTGTCTACTTTTTCTACCTCCCCTTTGTAATTTAATATTATTTGTCTACTTTTTCTACGATTTCCCTTCTAAAAAACAAGTACATTATAATTAAGCACTAAAATAAATGATACTAAAACTGAACTGAAATCCCTAAATTACATTAAAGTATATAGGACCTATATATTTGCTTCACAATGCACCACACAACATAAAATATGTGGTTGTATAATGTGAACAAATCCGAATAATATTTAACTTTAAACCCAGAATACACTACTATTTAGGGGTACTTGGTAAATTATGTCATGCTTCTTTAGCAGAAGTTACTCCCCTTCCACTTTCCCCATCATCACACATGATCACAAATAGCTAGAACCCCTAAATTAATGTTATACTTCTGTTTAACATCACCACAAATTGCAATATTTCTTTCTTACAACTTTGCTCTACATTGTTGATTTAGTCAACTCGAGATAAAGAAGATTGTCCCATGTATAAGCGTGACAAAATAAATGGGTAATCTATCGTTTTTGGTATGTAAAATCACCCGCGGCTAGTAATGTACGAAAAAGTTACCTCATTGTCAAGGCTTTAATAGAAATATATTGTGATATATTTGTGTCAAATATTATAGATAAATGAATAATAAACCTAAATCAATGGCTAAATATATCAACATAGGCCAGAAATTAACGTTAAACAGCAGTGTTTGCGAGCAGGATTTGCTATATAAAAAGCGGCCATCTGTAAGTTAGAGTGGCTTCCCCTGAATCTTGCGCTATAAGTTTACAATAAAAAAAATAAACAAGATGGCTTGTATAGTAATTGAGCATGGTTGCAGCTGTTGAAAACATCGCTAGTCTTCATTTATAACTGAAAAATTTTAATTCAATTGTTTAAAAACAGGTACATAAATGAAACAAGAAAACATTTTTGTATTTTTCAAAACATAAATCCTCCTCAAAATGTGAAATAATTATTAAATTTAAGGAGTCACTTGTTTTTCACATTACTAGTTGCGGGCGATTTTACGTACCTAAAACGATAGATTACCAATAAATGTATGTATTGCCAAATGAGACACTTGCTGGTCTAGGGCATTACCCACAGGATGTATTATCCCCTGTAAATTACTATCCCCTATATCCTGGGAAATATCCTCCTTATGCATGGAATTACCTCACTCCCACACATACAAACTAATGATACTTATTACACATGATACTGCTAAAGTGAGAACCTGACATTTTATAAAATTACTAGTTGCACCATAAAATGAGTGTCATGGGATTACAGAGTACAAAATAAATCATATTTCTTTATATGCCTGGGCATTCTATGCAATACAAAACTGGAACACCATTATAGTGTAGAATAAGCTTATTCTATCTAGAACTTTCACTTACCTGACACTATATCTATCTGTAATGTTATTCTCAAGTGTACCCATATCATTAACCTTAATCATCTTTTAAAACTATCCCTATCCTTAACCTTATCCTTATAACTATATTTAATGATAATCCCTATCCCTGTCTCTATCCTCATCCCATCCCTTAATTCTGACCCTATTTCTATGCGCATCCTTATCTCTAACCCTATCATCAATATCCTTAACATTTCTTACCTTTATCAAAATCTTCCATCATTTCGCAAGTAAGAAAGGTATCTGTCATTGTCATATTTGATGCACTAGTAATTGGGCTTTTGCATAGAGCATACTCTTCCATCTTCAACGTGCTTGAGCTAGTGTCATCAGGACAATGACCATTGTAATAACTTTTAGTTTTGTTAACCCTGAAAAGTTAAATCACTAATACTTTATATTATAATTTTAATTAGTGTTATTTGTAACAAGGTATTTAAATTATTCAGTAACCAGAGATTGTAATTTATCATTTTATGTCACAACCCCTCATATGCACATATGTTATAATGTTAAATCTTTTCCATAGAATACTCATCCTCAATTTAAGTCACATTTTAACTGCATTTCTAAATTAATTAGGCCTAAGTTGTTTTTTTTCTGAAAAGTACAGTTCAACCATTTCAAATCCTGAGTTATCACTGTAACCATAAGCAGTGAAAAGAGAAATAAAATTGAAAGCAAGTCAACAAGGTGTCAGATGCTCATCTCAACTTAGACAAAAGTGATGCCTACTACCAGCTGACAGACCAGAACATGCGAGTAATCTTTAAACTATGAACAGGACACAATAGGTTGAAGCAACTTATGTTCTTGTAGTATGGTTCATGAAAATGTACTACATAACTAAATTTTCCACCCCACAGATTTGTTCTTGACCCTCTCTCTCAAAACCTAAGCAATGAAAAATGTTATGAAGGGGGCAAGGACTTGCTTAGTTGGAGAACACTATACAGTTCATCTCCAATGTTACACTTATTGTTTGGTTTCCTCCTATGTAACAATTAAGAACAAAGAAAAACAAATAACAAAATGTTAGGTTGCTATTTTTATTTTTAGACTTACTAAACAAAGCACAGCAATAGTGAATAATCAAAATAACATAGACCAGCAACTGGTTATAATAATTTTGCAATGTTCTATCAGATCCTAGACTATCCTATAAAGTCACATTGTATTATACCACAATATATGATTTCTAATTTTATCCTGGTTAGGCATTCTACTTATGTTTTGTTTATACTGTTAAAAATATTTAGATACCTTATTTAATCTAAACTCAATGCATTTTCAAAGTAAACTGTTCTTACCTCCACGTCTCAATGCTTAAACTGGCACTAGTTGATCCTGATCCAAAAGACCCACAAAGACCTAAACAGAGTTAAAGCTTAGTTATCTATAAAACTTGATGCTGAATATCAATTGAATTGTTGATGTTTTGGAATTCACCTTAATTTAACTAAACAGTATTTAAAACATATCATACCTTCAGTAGAATTGGAATCAGAGAGACTTGGATAAAACCAGACATTGATCGAATCTTGAAATGTTTTTCGGGCCACAACGAGACCGCCAGTCGGTAGGGATATCTGGAGAAACAGAAAGTTTTCTTACCAGTAGTTTAAAGGCTTTTTTTACACACTAAGTATGTGAGTGGGTGTGTGTATGTCTCTGCTAATCTTGGAATATTAATTTAACCCATTTCCAATTTTTTATATGGTGGTAGATCTTAGATGAAAATGCAAGAACATTGAATTTTTTTAAACCATTTAGATAGACAATTAGTCAATAAAATTTAAATTAAATTGCAAAAATTATTATAGTTTCAATAGTATATTCCGCAAATCTTGGAACATTAATTAAACCCACTTCTCATTGTCCGATTAAGCTTATTTATCAAATGTTTAATCTAATTAGATTGACAATTAGTCATTTAAAATTAATAAAAAATTTAAGGATATTAAAAAATGCTAACAATCGCTAGATAAGAGGGCAGCAGAGGGTGAACTCTTTTCAGATTTAACAGTTGGCTGATTCGTGTCCTATTGTCGACCATGAACTAACTAAAAAGTGAAAAAAAATCTCAAAAATTTTTTTTTTAATTTAATGAAAAGAGTTTTTATTATATTCACAAATCACAAAAATATCACAAATGAAATAATGTACTATTAGAGAATTATTTTTAAACAGCATATTTCAAGACCCTTTCACCTTTATTTGTTATTTGTAAAAACTAGAAACTTAGTCACAAACTTCAACATTTGTTTTTTAACCTGGGTTCAACCGAACCCCAGGGATTTGGTCAGTCAATCTCAGGGGTTTGGCGGAGATGAAGACATACAACCAATTCATATGATTCACGATCTATTAAGAATTATTAAGAATGGTTCAGTAGATGAGCATATGAAACTGGTGGGGTTCGGTACTTCCAAAAAGGTTAAGAACCACTGTTCTATTCTCAGACTCCACTGGAAGTGCCATCCAGCTCTTAGTGTTTATGAGAATATACTAGAAAGTACTACTTGCTTGTTTCATAAACATTAACTACGTACTTCATACTGCAAACCTCCGTCATATCGCCTCACAAAAAATTGCTCTGAATTCTCCCTCTTGAAAAGCTTTGCTGTTATTACTTCCCCTGTAACACAACCTGTCAGTAAGACAACATCATCTTTGATTCTGGCGGCTAACGCGCAGGTACATCTAGAATTGTTGAGGGTTGTATTGTCTTGGCTACACTGGCGGCTGAATGTGTGTACCTAGATTGAGGGGAAAAATTTTTAAATCACTGAAGATTGGCTATTGTTACTTTTTATTTAACAAATGCCAGTTATGAAAACAAAAACCTCTAAATATTAACAGATACTTACTTCAAAAGGTAGTTTTGTATGCTTGTACAACACAAATTCACCATAAAGGTTGTTTTCAATGTAACTTTGAATAAAGTGAGGATTTAATTTGCAAGTTATTTTAAATAATTTTTAAAAAATAATGATGTATACAAATTCTTTAGCAAAAAATTACATATAGCCTTCAAAAATGTGTTCTGTATTAATTTTAGAATAGTTTCATATATATGATTCTGCACATTTCAGAACTGACGTGACTTTTCACTCACCTGCCGTTGAACATCCTTATATGTGACATGCCTGTAGACTCACACACTGTTGTTTGTGTTGTAAATGTTGTAGTCACCTGATGATATACAATATAAACTATCAGGTCAGACATGGATATTTAAAAGAAAACCTAGTGGATTTCACAAAAAACCATTTACCTGTTATTTCTTGAACTAGGTTAGTATATAATGAAAATTAAATATTAACAAATTAGGAGGGTCAGATCCTGTATAATGTGTATCCCATTTAACATAAAAGTTGATCTAGAATTTAGTAAATTGAAATGTATTAGCTTACGTTCAAATTTTTTGTGCTTTCCTCAAACAAAACATCATCAAAAGTGAGGCTAACAGACACAGTGCTATTGAAGACACCAGATAGTTGTGTGCCAGAGTTGGGAGTTACAGCGAAAGACATTTCCTGTTTCCAGTTGGCGTCTGTCAATGTTTTGGCACAGTTTGCGTTGGCATTATCTACCTTAGGAAATACTAATTTCTGTAACACCAGTGATGTTTTGGGGCATCTGTGAATAAATAAGTATGTATTTTCTTTTCATGTTTTATTTGTGTAATTGTGTGGAATGACTTTCTTAAAAAAGCAGTTGGATAATAGCTCTGGGTCTTTGAAAAAAAGTAAAATAATTTACACTTCTAAAAAAAAATTCTACAAATTATTCTAAAAATCAACATTAAAATGTATTTAAATAAATGTGTTGAACTCTAAATTGTTTTCTAAAAGTCTCATGAAAAATTACAAAGAACACAACCAATAAAACATTTTTAAAATAATTACTCCATGTAGGTAGCAATGACAATTAGATTTTTCTAGATGTATAGAACATACACAGTTAAAATTTTACCCCACAGCATGATATCAATAATAATAATGTAAGCAATTCTCACATTATCGAATCTTCATCCTTAGAGAAAATTATAATATCAACTTTGCTTTGTGGTGGCAGATTAGCTGTTGTGCATAGCAGGTATGGTGGAGCTGTAGCCTTTACTTGAATATATTTTATTTCTTTCTCATTCAGTGCCAAAATGTCTTTGTTGACTATCTGCTCAAATATTAAGTTACATTAAACATGATGATACAAAAAATGGTCTACACCATAATTATAAACATAACAATTTCAGTGCAAAATTTAATAACAATAATCAAATTTGATCCTACCTGTATTTCTGGGATGTAGTGCTGACTTTCCTTTGTTTTAGTGTAACTTAAAACATTGCTACACAAGGGTTTGTAGCAGGCTTTTACTTTACAAAAGTGCTGAAAGACATAATCATTATCATGATTACAAAAAGAAAGATTAACTACCTAGATCTTTTTAAAATTATAGTTAGCCTACATCAGCTGGAGAAAGGAATTGGGTGGTGAAGAAGAGCATGAATTTGAGTAATAGATATAGAATCTAGATCTAATACAAAGTCAGGTGACTGTGAGACAGAATCTTTTGTTTTTTATTAGAGGTGATTTGTATTTTTATATTTGGTGGCATACTTTTTCTGTTTTAAATTCTTGATAGCAACCTAATAATATGCATGTTTTAGAATTACTTTTTGTTGTGCTGAGAAGTCAGACGTGGTTACTGTCAGGTAAGAAACCATCACACCATCTGTCACGTTCTCTTCTTGTACCTCCATGTTGTCGGCGTACCACGTGATCATGTACTGGATACCAAAAGTCGCCTTGTCCATGACGGTGCACGCCAGTCTCATATCCACGTCGGAGGGCTGGTAGTCCACGATGGGTGTCATGATGTCGGGTGGAGCCATGTCTGAAAACATGCACAGTGTAAGAGGCCTCAGATTTCATTACTTTCATTAAATATTAAAACAATTAGACTGGGCTTATGTTTGCACAAGCAGCCTATTTTTAACAAACAAAAATCACATCAATAACTTTTTCCAAAAGTGTATTCTGGAACTTAGATAATTGTGTAAATCTATAGATCTATAAAATTTAAAAATCTATAAAATCTTATTACCGACTTCACAGCCCCGTACATCCATCCTGAGACATGGACGGCCTGTGAATGTGACCACCTCAATTCTAATCCGGCGTGCAACAAATGGTGTCTCCAGTTTTAGCTCATACTGTTTGTTTACGTAGTCAGCTGTGAAGACCTGATGGTTTTTTGCATACACATTCAACATCATACATATTTCACATCAGTAAGAATAAAAACATATAGAATTATGTATTAACAATGGAATGTTTAAAAGTTCTACCCAAAAGATTATTTGACGCAGATAAAGACCAATATATTTCTTTTCAAAAAATTATGAAAGCCCACAATGATAGAGATCTTTTCTTTCTTTTCTTTCACATTTGTGTTTGGCCACTAAATGAACATCCAAAGGACTTGAACAAAAATGTGAATTACTTTTATGAGATTTAAGAACCATACTGAAAATTGCCCCCCCCCCCCCCCCCCGAAACCTTTCTTTAGATCTATCTACACGTCACTAATTGCGCTAATGTCACTGTAAGTAGATCTAGAATCTATGCCTAATCTGAATAATGATTCATTAATCTAGGCCTACCTGTGTACCGAAAAGGGTGGTGTAGTTTCTCAGCTCACCAAACGGAGCTTCAGCTGGCTCATAGTAGAGCCGAAACCTCGTCACAGAGTACTGCAGGCTCGTATCTGCCGTGTACGCCGGCTGTAAGAACACTGACGTCACATTGATAGCAGACTCGAAGCAGACGTCATACCAATCGCCGGCTACATTGTTAGTTGGACACCATCCTCCGAGTGTCATACCTTATCAATGACGAAATTATTGTTTTGTTTGCATTCAACAGGTCTCAGCACCGGAACAACGAAACAAGAAAAAAAAACTAACGAATTGTGACTGAAACTGTAAGTCGTACAAGAAGCCCAGCCCATGGTATAAAAAAAAATCAGCTGTGTGAATAGGCCTCTACTATTGTTTTGATTGAATTTAAACGAAGATAAAAACAACAGCTCCGAGTTTCAAATCTCTCCAATGAAGTCTTTTTTTTTTCTTATTTAAAAATGAAACAACATATGCCTACGGGTTTTATCATATGAATTAAAATTTATTGGAATTTTGCAACAACAGTAGCCTATAAAATGAAACTTGCAGCAGAATTATTTTTCGAGATTGACAAAGGCTGTAAAATTAAATTTGGATGACTACTTTTTATTGTTTAAATCTTCAAAGAATAACGGGGTGGGATTATACTTTTTATTTGGTAGAATAACATACTGGATAAAAATCTTCAATGTGTGTGAACATATAGATCTACATTATAAAGCCTACATAATAATGTAATGCAATCCATAGGGCAGATGGAGTAGAGTTCAAGTCTCTTGACCTTGGTATATGAAGGGATGGGGTCATCCATAAATGACGTCACGCTTTTTTGACGATTTTCACCCCCCTCCCCTCCGTCACACGTCGTCACAAAAATCCAGGACCCCCCCCCCCCTGAAATGACGTCACACCTCAGCCTACACCCCCCCCCCCCTCAAAACTGCAGTTGAATTTTTAGCGCAATTTCCATACGGACAATTGCGATTATTAACTCGTCATTTCTGGATGGATGGATGAATGAATGAATGGATGTGTGTCCGCAGCTTTACCGCAGCTTTAAGTCGTATCTCCTCCTCAACGAAGCAATATCGAGGACTAGTTCCAAAACAAATATGTTAAGCAAGTTCCGAGGATGATTGTGAGCCAAAAAAATTCCCGGAATTCCTTCCTGGATTTCCCGGAAAAGCCAAAAAAAACTCGAAAAAATGCAGTTTTTTGCCAATATCTCGGCAACCAGACCACTTAGTGACTTGAAACATTTACCAATCGATTCCTGCCATAATTTAGAACAATATTGCCGAAGAAAGTTTTCAAAAATATCCTTTCGTTCGGTCACAAAAAAAATTTTAAATTACATAAACACCTACAAACCGATCGTTCTCCTAGCTTGAACGCACCCCAGCATTATACGTCTTTGTGATCACTATCTATTTTTAGATAACATAAGGAAATTGCGCTTAAATTGTCACTAGACTTTTTATTAACTTGTTTTTTTAAACATCGATATTTTTTCTAAAATCTTGTCTGAGCTCTATCAAAATAGAGTATTTTAATCAATTCCTATTACAATTTATTAAAACAGTTTTCTAAAATAATGCAAAAGTGTGACGTCGTCCGACAGCTTTTATAGCTGATTATTATCCGAAACAATCCCCCAACGTCAAGCAGTCTCATAAAGAATAATAATCATTAAAAAAGTTTTTAAAAACCCACGTTTTCTGATTGAACTAAAAAGTAGAAAATAAATACTATACATCACAATAATGCAAGCGATCACTCTACTATAAGCGATGAAAAACGCGGGGCGCCGAAGTAAAAGTTATATTACTATTGATTAGATAATACTATTGACTTTTATTAGGGAGCTTGTAGAGAGTCAACAGTATTAGAAACTGTAAGAAAATCACGGCGCCCCACGTTTTTCATCGCTTATAGTAGAGTGATCGCTTGCATTATTGTGATGTATAGTATTTATTTTCTACTTTTTAGTTCAATCAGAAAACGTGGTTTTTT